TCATGTCGACCTGAAACCGGAGTCGAATCGCATGTGATGTTTGGCAGATTAAAATCACCTCCGATGATTTTAAAAGTATGCGGTTGGTGTGAAGCAATGGAAAAGATGTCTGTTAGTAATCTGTCATACCTAGAGTCTGCATGTGGTGGTCTGTATATACATCCCACCAGTAGATAATTCCGAGATCCACAGTTTACAGTAACCCAGGTGGAGTCGTCTATAGCATCAAGGGATTTATCCGCCAATTTGCAGATCTGAATATCCGAACCGACATAGATAAGTGTACCGCCCCCTAATCCGTTACATCTATCGGTTCTAAAGAAAACATAGTCATCTATATGCAGGGAGTGATCGGATATAGATGAATTGCACCACGTTTCCGTAATAAGTACAATAGTTGGATTTACAAGCAATAAAAGGGTTTTGAGGTTAATAACTTTATTGGGAAGAGAGCGGGCATTGAACGAAAGAATAAGAAATTGAGAATTACCATGGTGAATCAGGTTAGAGTATAAATCACAATCGGTATTTACATGAATACTCGTAGGATTGTCTAAGGTGAGAGTTGTGTTGTGATCGGAAACAAATTCAACAACTTTGTCATCATTTGAAGTATGTTTATTGTTGCCGGCAGAAAAGCCGGCTGAAGTACAAAAAAAGTTTTCTCACTAGCATTAGATATAACACTTGGTAAAGAAATAGTATTCATATTGGCAGCCGGACCAAGAAGGCTATGAGGTCTATGTGTGCGATCAAGTTTAACTTTGGAGTAAAGCGTTCATTCCGCACTATGCTCTTTTTCTCTTGCGTCCAGGCTGTCGTGTAGATTTACCCTGGGGCTGTTAGAAGAGCTAAAAAACGATTTAGGCGTTCAGTCAGATTTTTCAGTCAACGGTAATGCTGACGATGTGAAATTCTAGAGAGAGATACGCAACCAAGAGAATATATTGGCACTTCAGGAGGATCTGACTCGACTTCAAAGTTGGGCAGACGACAACGAACTTACCTTTAACACTTTAAAATGTGAAGTAGTCCATCTGCAACATGTTGCAGAATACGGTGACAACTTATGCAACTTCTCTCTAGAAGTATCCCTAGTTGAAAAAGATTTAGGAGTGCTGGTACCGTACGATTTGATGTCTTACGCTAACTGTGACAAAGGTGCCTTTCGTGCAAACCTTGCACTGGTAACGTTGAAGCGCATTTCCTGCCAGTTTGACGGAAGAACTTCCCAAATTTAGAGTACAGAAACAGTATTTCCTGCCTCACTCCAAGAGGATGAGGACACCCTGGAACGTATCCCACGGTGAGCCATGAAATCAGTTCAGGAATTCAAATTCTAGTCTTATGAAGAGCGCCTCCAATCGATTGACCTTTACCTGTTAGATTACAGGCGTCTTAGAGGTGACCTTCCTATGACTTACAGTATACTTAACACTTCTGAACATCCCCTAAACATTTACTTAAGCTTGGTCACAATACAAACCTAAGGGGGTAACACCAAGAAACCGGAGACTCGACATAGCTGAACGTACTGTAGACACAACTCTACGCCTTGAGAGTTGTCAAATGTTGGAATTCGCTGCCGACTGAGCGAGTCCAAGCGACTTCTCAGGAGTCCTTTAAGAGGAAACTGGACCTATTCTAAAGGACTAAGGATAACATATAATTATGATTTACCAATTTATTTTTTCCATATTGTCGTTAATATACCTAGGTTCCTGCCTTGAGGTATTGGTGACCCACTGATACTAGACATGGAAGCTCGTTAAGCGAAAGCTACTTCTATTCCGTCCACAATCATTTAAACCATTTCCATCCGTCTTTAATGGAGTTGCAATGCGAGTAGCTAGAGTGATCGACTCAGATGTCAATATTATCCCTTTTGCAACCAGTTTGTCTAGTTCGTTCTTCACAGCCTCTTTAAACCATATGGACTTAATCGATGCCTCAAGAAGATTGGCTATCTCTTTGCTTCATAATTTACTGGGTGAATTTTCATATCTCTTAAAGCCTTTGAGCATTAAAATACCAGATCTTTGGTAAAGTCGGAGTTTTTACACAAAGAAGTGCGTATATCCAGCAATCTGTGGCCCTTCAACCCAGTGACAGATAACTCAATTACCCTATTCTTTTCTCACTGTACCATAAACTGTACCGAAAATGGGTAACTGATGGCCAATGATTAAATTAATTGCACTACTTGTAGGTTTTAAATGGAGATTTCATTTTGTAAGTGATTGATTATATGCTACCAGTAGCAACGATATGTGAAAAAGAATTGCCTATGTCGGCAATTGGTTATTGCATCGAATGTGAAGTACTTCTTCAGGCGGTAATCAGTGGTAACGAACCCATCCTCTTGTTCAAATTAACTGGTCTTAATCCACCACCGTCCAGTGTTTTAATAATAAACGACTTTGAGCACATAACAAAATATTTAACTCTGTAGTAAGTGTAGTAGCTATGCATTACAATTATTTACTAATTTCTTAGTTTTAGTTTCAGTTTGGAAACGACAGGTGGTTTGATGGTCTGTGTTAGTTCTGACAATGATGATCCAACTTGATCCAACTTTCTTTTGAAAGAGTCAACGGATGGAGCCTCAACCATGTGCTGAGGTAATGAATTCCACTCGTTGATAATTCGATTGGAAAGTCGATAGTCAGCTAGCAAGTAACTTGTCCTGGGTTTGTGAACTTTTTTGGAGTGTCCTCGTAAATTTTCTGTTTTGGAGGACAAGAAAAATGAGGGCATATCAAGTGCAAATTTATCACTAAGTAATTTGAAAACTGATCAAGTCGCCTTTGGTTCTTCTATGTAACAGCGGGAATAAGTTTAGCTTGACCAGTTTAGCATCATGCGGGGGTTTTGCTATTCTGGGAATCAGCTTAGTTGCTATTCTCTGAACCTTTTCCAAAAGCTCAGTCTTTTTAAAGCAGGGGCTAGCCGCTTGTATGCAGTACTCAAGTTTAGGACACACGAACACCGTAGACAAATTCAAGAACGTTTTAGCGTCGACATGACTAAAAGCACTACATATTGACCATAAAGTTCTGAATCCTTTGGCGGCTATTGCACGGTAGTTTGCAGTAGTCTTTAAGTCATGGCTACCAATGACTCCTAAGTCATTGTGTGTCTCGACAACAGGTAGCTCAGTGTTATTTATCGTGTATATATCTGTACCTTGATGACCGATATGCATCACAATACACTTGAAAGTATTTATCGGCAACTGCCAGGTTTGAAACCATTCAGATATTTTAGATGGTGGAGAACATTTGTAGTTCAGGTGGATGATTTTGATGGAGTTTTGTCCTCTGTTTCTGCATAAACATAGGACCAAAAATCAAATCAATAGGAGATACAACCAAAACAAAGAAATAAACAATTACAGATTTAAGGTCAATAAGAACCAATCAACACCGATGTGCACAGGACAAGCTGTGAACCACATGTGGAGAAATTCAAAAACTTCACTTCTACCTGAAGTTTGTGCTGATGATGTCGTTCAGAAGGACGATGAGAGCTCCACGACCAAACCATCCAGCCCAGAGAACAAAACTCCATCAAAACCATTCAGATAATTTCTCCAGGTCATTTTGGAGTTCTAAGCTATCACTCTTACTTCGTATCGCTCTCCATATCTTGACATCGTCAGCATATAGCAAGGCCGGTGATGATAGTAAATGAGGAAGGTCATTTACATACAAGAGGAATAACACTGACCCCAAAACTCTACCGTGAGGTTGTGCGGAACTTTGTCAAAAGCTTTGCTGAAATCGATGTAGGCTACGTCTACAGGTAACTTTTGGTCCTTAAGAGTGCATAAGCTTTCATGAGCGACTAGTAAGTTGGTGAGACAAGAATAACCTATTCCAAAACCATGCTGATTCTCATCGAGGTACTTAACACAGCTCCTTTCGAATAATCTTTTCTAAGATTTTATCAACCACACTAGTTAGACTAACGGGTCTGTAATTCTCAAGTTTATGTTTCGTGCCTGTTTTGATGACAGGACTTACTAGAGCGTTCTTCCAGTCTTTCGGTAAACGACCCCGAGTTACGGATAGATTAAAGCATATACTTAAAGGGTTCGCAACAATGTTAGATAATTCCTCTAGTAGCCTAGGATGTAATTCATCGGACCCCGTGAATTTACCTGTGTCAAGCTTATTTAGCAAACCAAAGACATTGAGTTCTTTAATGATCACACTGTCCAGTGTTTGTGTGAGGGGATTTGTATGGACGTGGTGTGTTTCTATGGTCTACATTGCTAAGATAGTTTGAGCATACTTGAGCTTTACTAAAGTCGTCCTCCACCAATGATGAGGCAGTACTGTCTCCCCATAGTGCAGGAATATTTCCTCTTCTTTTTGTCCTTTGGTTTATAAAGGAGTACAAGCGTTTAGGACATTCTATGGATTCCTTAGCAATTTTCTCTTCGTAAAACATTCAAGATTTACGGAGGGTCAAAGCACAGGTATTCCGAGCTTTTCAATACTGAGATTTTGTCTCATCAGTCCCCAGTAACCTAAATCCACCCCAAGTTTTTCTTCTCTTACGGAGAAGGATGCGAACTTTCTTACTGAACCATGGTGGAGAGTTTTTCGGCCCCCGTGGTGTGGTCCAAGGGATGTGGGGTGCGGCAACTTTTAAGTTTAAATTTCAAAATACGTCCCAAGCCTGAGGACTCTGGGTCTATTGTCTAATCTACTGACTATGCTGAATGCATGATGTCTTGTATGTTTGCTTTCCCGATAATAGGTCTAGAGTAAGTTGATACGTGCTCGTGGTTGATAGTTACATGGAAGTCGAATGTTAAAACTGCATGATCGCTCGAATTATTATTTTATTATTTTCGCGTTGCGGCTAACTAACCTCTTGTATGTTTATACGTTAGCTGCTGGTATTCAGAAACTCCACTGCCCTAAGAAAAACCCAACCACTATAAATAAAATACATACAAATCCGCAAACAATTATCAACCTGATTAGAATAATTTCGGTCGAGTGTCTAAACTACAACCCATTGAACATTATAAATACCTGTAACCTTACCGAAAAACAAGAAGCGAGGGCAAAGAAATCGATCGTTTTATACAAAACCGTGACAAAAATATTGGTTATTGGACTGAAGAGTCAGTATCCGCGTAATTTCAGAAACGCGTTGCGTTGGCAATGACAAAGTATGTTGGTTGGTTGTTTGTTATTGATTACGAAGTAGCTATTACAACCCCAACTGCGACCGGTATATTCAGAAAACCAATGATTCAACGTCTCACAGACTTAAAAGTGCTTATTGGACTACCAAACAAGCAGTTATTAAGAAACTGCGTCGAAAGCAAGACGAAAACATTGTAGCTTCTGACTCCGATCTTGACGCAAAGTTGGAGGTAAAAACACTCCACTTATCATGCCTTTAGCTGTTAAAATCTGTCCAGTTGACATGTCGAGATCTTGACAATGTATTGGCACGTTATCAGAGAACGTTGTGCTGTAAGTTTTCACCATTACCCTTATGACTATTCAGATTTGTCTCAGGCTGAAAATGAAATGGGACGATTTCTAAAACAATTTAGTTTAGAAGATAAAACACAAGCTGGAAAAATTATGTCTGCTGTCGGAAAAGCGTTAAGTAGCTCGGCACAACAAAGGTAAAGCTGCATTGTTTTCCGTGAGATTATAATTTATGGATGACCTTTGAGCAACCCTAAAGTGACCTTAAAATTATCCACCGAATAACTAAGACCAAATGAAGATTATAGTCTTGTATGAGGAATTAGAATTATGTTTTACAGTTGACCGTTGTAGGATTATCTTTCACGAACTGACATCAGCTATAATGCCAAACGGGAATTTTCCGAATGGATAAATGAATTTCGCGCCAGAATGCGGGACTTGTTATCTTATGCCTGATCGGTTTGTCCATAAACTATAGTCCCGCCTTGCTTTCTATCATATGCTTTAGGACTCACTGCAACTTCATTAATCATCACTTCTGACCAACCAACCTACGATTGTCTGATTATGAATCATTATATCTGACGTACTGTTAATGTTTAGTACCCTAGTTACGTAAGCACAAGCATCAGGGCAACCCTGTGACAAAGTAATATAATGTAAAAGAGCCGTGATCCGTTACTTCCAGCAAAAATAATATGCTGTGGCGTGAGCCACATCTTTGGCTGTCTGTTCATCCATTTAAATGTTCAGTAAAGCAGATCAAGTTTACATCTGTTTCATATAAACATGTGCACTACGTTGGAGTCGCGACTCTCGTTTCAGTCAATTTGTATCGCTTTTTGACTTTGTACCCTAAATAGACTTACTTTGCTCAGTCCTCTTGATCGCGTTCACCAAGAAGTCAAGACATTCAGACAACGGGCAATCAGTGATACAACAAATACAGTTAAAATTATGGAACAAGGTCGCACAGAATATCGAGGTGCATTGTTGTGGATGAAAAACGTAAGCGAGGAGTTGGACCCAGATACACACAAACAATTGGAAAAGTTTCGGTGTGTTCAAGCACAGGTAATTCATATATAGATATTTTGAGAATATCAATATACACCATTTAAATGTTGGCTTGATTCAGCCAGATTTATTGGGTAATGGCGCAATGCTAATAATGGTTAATAAAACAGTCGTTGAATTGTTTAATATGAATGTTAAATAGTATCTACGATAAGTGGGACATACGTTTATATGAATAGCCGTACGTATAAGTTCTGAAGCTTATCTCAAATATGATAGTTTATCAAGGTTCAAGAAATGAACCATAAGGTTAGAAGTGGTGTTTCTTCCAACAATAAGTACCGGTACATAAGTAGTGTTAATTCGCAGGAATAGTGCAAGTCGGTTGTACACTGAAACAACCAAATAACTAACTAAGCCATCAGGTACTCGAAAGTAGTCAATTGGAAATAATAGGTTTAGGTTTCCTGATTGTTTGTACTCGTCAGCATCCAACACTTATTAGGGTAACGAATATCATGTCTTCTTTAAGACTTACATTCATGTGTTCCAAAATTAAGGTGTAACCCATCACTATTAAGTAATTTAAATTTCTACTAATGCTTCTTTTATTATCTTTAACGTAATGACTGGATTAATAAATTAAGTAAGAACTGGAATACGAATGTGCTCACAAGAAGGACGTTTCGTAAGGCACCAAGCAACTTTACTCAACACTTTTATGACTAGCACTGATATACATTTATCGGTGGAATAGCAGCTAACTTCTAAGCTAACTCAGTTTGCTGGCAACGGAAGGTGTAACCAGTTTGCTTGTATCGATTTGTTTAGGACGATAAGTTTGTTAGTTACGGGAACGCAAGGTGAGTTTGGTGCAGACCTAGGCCTAATCAAAATCCAAACAAATACTTTGAAAGAAGCGTCAGTGTTATACACATCCTTGTTGATCCTAATGGGATCAATTTGCGTTCAGGCTTGAATTTCAGAGAGGTAGAACGTTAGTGAGGACTACCAAAAGTTAGTTCTGGCCAGAAACGGTTTGTTTTTTGAGCGAGGTGTAGAAAGCAGTCACTTGACTTGGGGTCATCGAATCCGAATTGACTGTTCAAACAACTATGCGCCTCAATATCTGACCTGCGCATTTAAATCTCCAACCAGCATTACAATATTTGTCAAACGCACTGTCTTAAGGCAATGTAGTTAGTAGTAGAAATTATCCTTGATTCCATTCGGGCTGCAATCCGTCAGCGCACAGATATTTATTTAGCTAAACAAACATTGATACGAAGCACCAAATATATATATATATATATATATATATATATACCACACAAATCATTCGATGTATGTAACTTCTGGAATACTTCTCGAGTTCCCAAACCGAAGCAGATGGTTCTCTTAGGGGGCCACTCCCCGAGCTTTTCACCTACAAGTCTAATCCATAAGGCAGTGGAGCAACGTTCGGAGGTGCAGTCTCATGGTAGCCGGTAATCAACAATAGGTTCATACGTCACTTGTTCCTTCAGGAAACTGGAGCCCATGTGCACCGCTGGTTTGAAATCAGGGTTTTCCAACTCCCCTAAGTGAACTTTCCTTGTCCACCAACCCGGTTAAAGCGCCTGACATTCGCTTTTCATCCTCCTTATTTCATGAACAACATCCCCTTTGAGAGAAGGCAGTGAGTAGGACTTTCTTGATAGTAGCTGTATACGCGTGGCCATGTGAGAGCATTTCGAGGAGAGTGGACTCTGTCTACCCTCGGACGTACCAAGGCATTTGAGGAACAGAAAGATACTCTGTTTCTCCACCAATTTCTCACTTTGATGGAGCCTTCTGACCTAACGGTACATAAACGATTGTTATCAGAGATTCAGTTGCCTGGCACTGCTTCTGCTCTGGTGTTCAGTGCGACACTGGACGGTAGTGTTACAAGGTCTACGGGTTAGAGAAGTATGGAACGAGGAGAGGAGTCTGTGGCATCACCGATCTTGAATGTGAGCCCCAGACGTATAGTATACGTCAATAGTAGGCTTTTCCAAAGATAGATAAATCCGTCTGTCGTCCGACTTGCATCAAAGCAAAAATGTTGCTGACAGTTCTAATTTGGGCTCGTAGCTTCAGGAAGCTGTATCAGAGTTTGTATATCCTGGTAGAATTCATAAAATCGATCGTTCATCAGTTTGAGATAAGACAGAACTTTCAACAAAGATGAACTACTAATTGAGTCGAAGTGTAAAAGTAAACAGAATGGAAATAAGGGGAAACATGAAGTTGAAACAATCTGAAATAAATTCATTGTTAATGAACCGTGCATATTGTGTGAATAGATAAAGAGGTATGACAAACAGAACACTTCTATAATTATCTATTATCGTATTTTTGTATGTGGTGGGACACTGCCCGGACTCCCGCACCCAAACGAGTTCCTAGTTCCTCACATTTCAGGCATATACCAAGTTTTGAAATGATTTTCTGTTATATGTTTATCCAAATTTCCCAAGGCTTTTCTCCATACTTTCCCTTTTTATTGTACCTTGATACTATCTACTTGTATTACTCTTTCATCTCACGGATAAACTCATTGATGCCTTCCCTAAACTATTCTCAGTCGTTCAAAATTTCTGATTCTCACAGCAGTAATGTATACTATATAATTAATCAAATTTTCTTGCCATTATGTTTTGTTATTACATTAGTTGTTGAATAAATAACAAAAGCTCCATTATCAGTCTTACCAGTGTAATTATTACAATATTAAATTTAATACAATTTGGCTTTCTGTTTCGCCATACAGGCGTTTTTTCTGCTCAGTAATTAAAGATGATCATTACTATTATTTACTCTGAACCAGAAATTGTGATATCAGTCAGTCAGTCAGCTACAACGTAGGACCAGGCACATATATGCATCGGTCCAAGTTGCCATACCTCGTTAGCACAACAAGATGAACACTGAATTCATAGTAGTTAATTTAGTGGTGGTAATATATAAAAGTTTATTATTTATTTAGTTATTTAAACACATGAATATTGGTGCAAGGGGCACCAGATATGTATGCGCCACACAAAACAAAGAAAATAGGAAGAGAAAGGGGTAAGATGCATATTTAAAAAAAGTAATGGTGAGGGAGACTGAAATGTACAACCAGAAGAACTCTCTCAGTTAAGAAAGTTATAACTACTCTATGCAGAAAGTAAAAGGTTACAGCAGGATCGCCATTGGCTTCTATTCTGGGCCATATCTGATAACGTCTCTAGCCACCGTGTTGCACCATCTCTCGGACCCCAACCAGGGAGTCGTGAAGGACCAACAGAAGCCAATCCTTTGAAGCTTTCTTTCATGCCACGACGCCATGTCATACAATGACCACCTCTCCGCTTTTCCAACCAGTCCCAGCGTCGGCAAATAATGCACGACGTGGAATTCTCTGAGACGACATTCGTAGAACATGTCCAAGCCACCGAAGTCGGTGTTCCAAGATGGTGACACCAACTGGGTTGTCTTCTCTGCGCCCGAACACACGATGCCGAACCTCTGCATTACTAACTTGGTGTTGCCACTGGATGTCAGCAATCCTTCAGAGACAACGATGATCGAACACAGAGAGTCGTCTAACATCCTCAACTCTGAGAGGTCAGGTTTCACAAACATAGAGCAAAACTGCTCTCACCGACGCGTTGTAGATCCGACCTTTTACAGCCAGACTAACATCAAGAAGTCGCCAAAGATGGCCCAGATTGGTATAAGCTTCTCTGGCTTTCGCTATACGTGCATCAATCTCATCACTCACGCCACCACCAGCACTTATATAGCTACCTGGATACACGAACTTCTCAACTACTTCAATCTGCTCACCATCTAGGGTGAGTACAGGATTAGAATCGTGCCAGTCTTGTGGGAGTACTTTACACTTTGAGGGTGCAAAGCACATACCGTACCTGCGGACACTGATTGCCAACTGAATAAGTGCGGATTGCATGCCTTGGGCATTATCGCACAGTAAGACAATATCATCCGCATACTCAAGGTCGAGAAGTCGTTCTTCAGGCAGCAGATCCACACCGCCATTACTTACATCCACCAGAGCTGTTACCAGAATGTCATCGATGGCAAAGTTGAAGAGGAATGGTGAGATTGGGCAACCCTGCCTAACCCCACTGCTTGAATGGAACAAGGGAGAAAGGTGGTTGTATGCCCTCACTCTGCCTGAGGTATTCGTATACAGGGCCAACAATTGATTCATACGCCATTTGTTCCCTCAAGATACTGGTGCCCATGTGCACCATTGATTTGGAATCAGGGTTTTCCAACTCCCCTAAGTGAACTTTCCTTGTCCACCAACCCGGTTAAAGCGCCTGACATTCGCTTTTCGTCTTCTCAATTTCGTGAACAACATCTCCGCCACGAGAAGGCAGTGAGTAGGACTTTCCTGGCATAGTCTGTATATGTGTATCTGTAAGAGAGCATTTCGAGTGGGAGAGCGGACTCTCCCTACTCTCGGCCGTACCAGGGCATTTGGAGGCAAAACAACCTATTAGAAACTCCCAGAAGTTTAACAGTACTCAAAAAGTCAAACAAGTTATAAACAAATTCACATTGTAGTGGTCAGTTAAAGAATGTGATATAGCCACTAACCCGAGTAACGCGATATCATTGTGTACAATGTTCTATGTTGGACAGTTGGAGGTAGTCGTGGGTCATTATTTCTTACTTATCAGCACTAACCGATAAAGCCTATTCCTGACATAAAAAGGAAGTCACTCTTCCTATGAGCGAATATCACTTTATGTTAGACATAGTGATCTAAAATTTAGGTAAATCAGTTCCCATTTTACATAAACCAACGGTGTTCTTATTGGTTTTATTCTCCTTTAAGTGGTTTACTTTCTAAGTCTATCGATAATAAGCCCATTGTTCATTATTTTTATCACTTAGGTTCGTAAAGCAAAAGCATCATTTGATCGCCTAAAGGTGGACAGTATGCAAAAAGTAGATCTGTTAGCAGCCAGTCGATGCAATATGTTGAGTCATGTACTTGTCGGCTATCAGAATACTTTGTTGACTTTTCTTGAAAAAACGTCTCAGTAAGTTTTAGTTTTTCGTAATAAGTGGACGTGAAGCTTTTTATGAGTTCGGAATTCTTGGTTTAAAGGAATTTACACAAAATTTGAGAATACTATATGGCATATCTTTTATCTTGAAAGTAATTCCAGAAAAATACATAATAGCGTTGCCTTAAACTTCATTATATGCATATATTGTTTCATGCTATTCAAGCTAAATTCCGTTTTAGATGTTTTCAACTAGCTAGTTCTACTCCCGACATAATATGTATGGTTTTTAAATGTCTTGATAGGTTTTATGTCCTTATACCCTCAATTAATTCTTTGGGACATAAATCCATTGGATACTTTTTGGTTCCCATTAATTTTGTGTATGTAGTTTTTAGAATAAATAACAATATTCTATATGAGATACACTTAGTTCAGTCCAGCGATTTAACTCAGAATTTTTTATTTACTCTAATCACGTTTCTAAAATATACACTAGAATATATAAAATACCATTTCAGCTCCCTTCATCTCATTTTGAAGACGAATGTCGTCAACTGTATATAAAAGTCGTTTTAAACATATTTTGCAACTCAATTTTAACCTCGCCACCATAAGCACATAGTTTTTACGTCATCAACATCACTAATCCGTAGCTGCTGCCTTCAAGTGGTTGCCAGACTCAGCTGTCGTAATGGTTCAATCCATTTATATTAGCTATAACACTTTCTTTTGAGTCCTACCATGGTAGGTGGATCAGTTGGAGAACAATAGAATTAAGAGTATCAAATTAAGATCGGAGTCATACTGCTGACTGTATAGGGACGTAACAGCAGTAAGCTGTTTCCCTCACAGAACCAACATCTACAGCAATAATCCTTTCCTATAACCGAAAGAGAGGTTAGACAAGGTTAGTACTGAAAACAAGTTACCTACAAATTTCTGTCACCGGTGGTAAGGTTTTGGGACACGGAGGAAATACATCAAGAACTCCCCATAAAAGGACTGTGTGACCGGTATCAAGTAGTTCTCCTAGGCTCTGTGGTCACTTCTCAATTCTCCAAGACTTCTACTGTTCCATTTCTATTTTCAGATACTTCAAAAAGTATCCTTTCAAGGTGTGGGTGACTGGCAAATGAAAACCACCCGCACACTTCTAACAACGTTTGAGGACACCTGGTTCACGGCTAAACCACCTCCTCGTGTATCATAGCATAATGATAATAAACTATAAATACTATTACCTTTATGAACAGGTTATTTTTTCATTCCAGGTTCACAAGTGAGTAAAATTTCCTTTTATGAGTATACCGGTAATCAAGTTGAAAATAATTTTTATACAAATACTAATTCTACTTTTACATTTAAATACTATTTTCAAACCAAAGTAAATTATCTTTTACAAAATGTTCTTATTATTAGTATGATGGTAGCAGTAGCAGAAAGTTTCAGAGGTTATCAATACTATGAATTTTCAATTCTTCGACATTTGAGACCAGAAAGTCGTAAATTGGCTGGATATAAGAGCGATGATGAGAAAGATAGCGATAGGTAATTTTTCGTTGTTTTAATTTATAGGTAATTAGACATTTATATATCTGATAGAGTTATTCATAACTTGCGTACGACTGACAAATAAGTGGTCTAACTGGTATATTTCTTCCACGACATATATATATATATATATATATATATATATATATATATATATATATAGCATATATATATATATATAGCGATCTGGGAAATGTGTAGCTCATAACTTGAACATTTTAGCCACTATAAGTGAATGACGATAAACGCATATATGCGAACAATGTTGGAACATAATCATGGTGAAACGAACTAGTAACCGTATTTCGACACAATACATCAAACCTGATGTGTTCATCATAAGATCACATTATTTTGATGTACCATCCATCTAGTAGTCCCCTACATAGACAGGTTCTGTTGATCTGAAAGAGATATTTGACTATTTCAATCAAACCCTCAAATTTTGTGGTGAATACGTTAGTTAGCTTTGACACATAGTGTCAAGTTACTAGTTCATCTCACCGTGATTGTCCTCCATGGTTGTTTGCATGTATGTGTTTACTGTCATTCATTTATGGTGGCTAAAATATCCAAGTTATGAGCTACGTACCTTCCGTCCCAATATTAGCAGTTGCGGTTCAGTTCCACAAGCGCTCTTAAGGTTCCAAACTATGGTTATGCAGTTATTTAGATCTCTCTGGGTTTTTTTGCTGTTTAACTGAATATCACTAATTAGTAAAAACTGTCTATAAACGAACAGGAACCTTTCACGAATCACGAACTTAAATGATATGAGCTGCACTATGAATCGCTTCAAAGTTATTTACCTAGACTAGGCACTAGACGAGGTTATCCACAACTAAGATTTTTTTGAATTCACTTAGTATTGTTTGTTTGGATCTTCCCATCGATGTGTTTAGGACTGCAACTGGTCAGTCTGTAATTGGCATATGTACATACTGTGCGTATTGCCTCGATATACCTTAATTCACAAGCATGGTAAGCAGAGATGGATAGTGGCTAGCAGTGGAATCCAGGACGCGCGTTTCGTCCTATTTGGGACTCGTCAGCTGGATGTACCTACATCTCAGAGTTGATGTTCACTCTGGGACTCGAACCCAGTACCCTCGCTTCAAACGCCATCGCGTTATCCACTCGGCCACTGAGTCTTGATAGCCACTTGCTTGTGCGATGGGGTGAAGTTTGAATTCACTTAGTATTGTTTGTTTGGATCTTCCCATCGATGTGTTTAGGACTGCAACTGGTCAGTCAGATTTTTTTTCTAACACAATTTTACTTATCCCAGTTATCATCAACTGGAGACCAAAGTAAAATGAACACAAGTAATTTTTAGCTGCTTCTGACAATTTTCGTCACTATTACATCTCAGTTGTCACTGGATGGTGGAACCTAAAGCCGCAAACATTAATTTCTGTAATTATAAATACATTTTGTACCACTTGTCTATACACCTAACACTTAGAGTATCTTGGATAGGAGCGCTTTTAGTTTTAATATACATTTTTGTAATTTTCTTTGTTTTCGTTACAAACCAGCGAAAGTGATAACGTAAAAATAAAGAAAAAGGGAGATGATAATGAGGGAAGTGAATATAATTCTTCTTCATCTAGTGATGTGGGATATACTCATAATCAATCTTTGAGAAACTGCAAAACTCCGTGTATCTTATCTTCAATTCATTCATGCATCCCTTGTGGATATGAAGCTTTAAAAAGTGATGATTCCTCAGAGAGACAAAAAACCATGACTTGGTAAATGTGTGTGCATGTGTCTCTGTGTGGCTTTGCGTTTGCCGATTCACATGACTATCCTGAAAATTTTCTTTAACTTTCCATGTTTCAAATACTTGCAATTTATTTGGTGATGGAATTTTTGTATTTATCCAAGGCTTTTGTTTGGGTTGAAGAATTTTGCTCTCAGTTGTCATATATATATATATATATATTATATATATATATAATTATTGATGAAAGTACTTAATAGGTAAACTGATTCAGCTAAATAGTCATGTAACATACAAACATCATGATTTCTCGTATATATTTTAGCCCTTATTATGGATTCAAGTTTCACAATGTAAAGGAGAAAAAATTGATTTATCTCTTTTTTTAAGTATGCGAAAAAATATTATGGTAATGACCCAAATGGTGAATTTATGCAAATCAGTAGCCGCTCATTGTGTTCACAAAACACTCCTTCAACTAATTGTTTGTACACTTTATGTTTTCTGACCCAAATAGCCGAGTACTATCCGCACATCTCACACAAACATTGTAACTTAAATCAGAGTGTATAAATGAGGCCGTACTTGGTGAAGATTTGTGCAAATGTTAATCATTGTCAAGTCAACTACAACAAAACAACTGCAACACGGTGGCCAAAAACGTTATCAGATATGGCTGAGAATAGAAGCCATTGTCGATTTTGCTGTAACTTTCCTTTACTTTCTTCATAAAGAGTGGTCATAACTTCCTTAGCTGGTTGTACATTTCTGTTTCCTCCATTATTACTCTTATTATTACACTAACATACACTCTGTGGCTCTTGTTGTCCCTTCTTTTTTCCTATCTGCACCTTACCCCTTTTCTCTTCCTATTCTCATTGTTTCGTGTGGCGCATATATATCTGGTGCCCCCTTGTACCAATATTTATGTTTAAATAAATAAACAAACAACTACAATTCCCTCTAATGTGACAATATGTACTGCGGTATATTATTGGTATCAGCTTATTAGTTAAATTAAACATAATTGAGTACAGAGAAGTTAGTTAACTTTTTCAGGGATCAGAGTGAATTACTCAGTCACCTTAACATCAATCGATGCACCAAAAGATTTGTTTCATTTAGATTTGCTTAGCAGTCAATGTCAAGTTGTAGTTTGGTTTATTTGTCCATAGTTTAGGAGTGCTCAGTGTCTTCTACTAAAAATATATTCACTTATTTATCTTTAAAATACAGGCTAGACAATAGATCTAATCAAGTTGAATTAGGTGATTCAGCAATTATGAATTCCGATGACAATAACCATGGAATACATCAAACAAAATTAACAGAAGAAGAATTTGGTAAAAGATTAGATGAAATTTTCCTAGAAAATAATGGTAATAATTTCGACTTTGATTCAGATAAATTTAAATCAGCAGATAATCAAACCAGTTTTGGTGAAACTGAAGACAACAATAACATTAGTGGTAAGGTTAATTTTTAGTACTATATTTAAGTTTGTTAAATTGTTTGAACGCTTCGCAATGTCAGTAAAATGTATTGTTTGTAAAACGTGATGTTTTAATTATAAGTTATGATATGAGGCTATGAACATTCATCGTCTTGTGTCGTCGAATTATGTATTGCACACTTCTAACCATCTCCCACTCTGACTCTCAATGGTTGATAGTGTAGAAATATTTCGAAATGAAGCTAGGGATGGCCTTCTTTCTCGAGTTATATTACTTACGCCAAATGTTTTTTTATCACAACTGGTATTGTTACTAATTCTATTATTCTCTGATTTGCCTCAGTAATTCTGTATCACTTTACTAATATGGGATGCCAACGTGAACGAATGCATATATGTGCCAGGTTCTGTGTTGCTCACAACTGTTTAGCTGTTAGTCATTTAATTACATTTTTCCTACATGCTGTTTTCTCATTCAAATAGTTACTCTTGTTATAAACATAATTACTGTTTACTAGTTATGAATATATGCTTCAACTAACTCGTATATGTTTTGCCCATTTTCGTTTCTTTTACTTTGTCATAATGTTTTAGAGACTGATAATCTTGTTCGGTTTAACAATTTTAGGTCTAATAAATGGATCTATTGAGCAAGTCCCTGCTGATCATAGGGATTTGTTCACTGATCTGTTTCTTAGTGATGCAAAAGATGACAGATTTACTGGACAACTTTCTGGACTAGATACTCGTAAGTTTTTTTGTGGTAGTGGGACAATTTGTTTTTCTAATTTCCTCAAGTGTCCATTTATACCTTTACTGTATAAACAAGTAGAGTACTGTTTTTTATACATGAAAATGTCTTTCTGTTACAAGGTGGGGAATGATTCTATAACTTTAATTCCAGCATCGATACCGTACTTTCGGTGATACTATGCATACATAATTACAACGTATGCAGAAGATCAATTTTAATTTCGCACATCGATTTAGGGTGATTTTCGTCCAGCCAGCTCCAAGCACTTTGTTGTATTAGATTATTCAGAGTGGATTCTATTGATTAACTTTCAATGTAGTTCAGCTGTAATCAGTCATTTGATTTTCACTTTATTTTTCTTGTATTGGTTATTTTACTGTGATTTTGTTTTCGAAGATATTTAATTACACAGTTAATAAAACTCGGTAATTAATATTCATTGGATTTTAATATATAACTGAGTTAACTTAGATGTAAATTTCAAACTACATCTACTTCAATTGGATATATCGGTTAATTTCAATAATTATCAATTAAGTCACCACTTGAATGCAAAATACGTGTAAATTAATTAATACAATGACAGACCACAGATTCAACAAAATGACTTCATGCAGATTGAATCTATAAACATGCAATAGCACTAAAAGTTGATGAATAGAATCCACTTCCAATTACTATATGGATTTAACAATTGATATGTGTCCAAAAACATTATTTGAAAGTTTAGTTTCTCCAACGCTGATGATATATCATTCAGTTACTCAGATTATCGTAATAATGAAGGGTATAATGAGTCATCTATTCAGTCATAAAATCTGTAGGGACTGGCACAAATTCGCGTCGAGCATACCACATTAGCACAGAGAAATTTTTCACACTGTAGGATTTAATTTTTGCCCACAGATTAATTTCACGAATAAGTCCCTATATTGTCGCACACAGACTTAGCAGGGATATAGTCAAAACAGATAACTATGTATATAACCAACAATTACTATGTGTCTCTAAAATGTAGATGAATACAATTAGCACAAAAATACAAAGTAGTAGCCGATGACAAAGAGAACAATAAACACACATACCGAACAGTAGCAGGGATACGGTAAAATGAATCAATAACAATGGTTAGTTATGTTTATACCACTGGTGCAATTTCATGATTGGTAGTTAAGCGAAAAGGGGTCATAATAATAACCAGTCTGTAACTAAATGGGTCTTAAGTGGTGGGTGTTTAACTCAGATATTATCACAAGAGGGTTTTGTGATGATTATTGTTGTTGGAGATATTATTGTTTGTTTCACTCTCATCAACCAAGGTTAAAAGACCCACAGAGTTTATCGATTTACTATTATTATATAAAGTATGAAAATGCTATAACTTATTGGATGAGTTAGGTCGAGGTAATTGAATATCATAAGCTCATCCTTATCTAGTGCAACCCAGGAAAACATGTTTTGAAGGTTTATCAACCTAATCATCAACGTGTGCGCCTACTTTTGTAACCGGTGATTTACAGATTTTGATAACATTAAAACACTATTGGTTGTTGATAGCAGTTAAATATCCCACTTTATTGAATGTACAGGATATAAGTAGTACCACCCAGGAACTAAAGTTGACCATTCAGTCTCAGTAACTTTCGTCCGAATACTGAAGAATATAAGACGTAGCGAAATTTAAAAGACATAACAATCCAAAAACTTAGATAATTCCTCTTTGAACTACTCTTACAAATGAGTTTAAGACATTGATTTAATCCCAGCTTAATAAAACGAAGATAATTACATGCCTTCGTAACGATTGAATCCTTCTTTTTTTAACATAATACATAGATTTTCAAAATACTTTAAATTTCTTAATTCTTTTTTTTGCTGATAATAAAGGTCCTTTCAATTTCGGAAATAAAGATGGATTCACTAATGATTCAGAAGCTGTCTTTAGCGATTTGAATCAGCCTTGCCAAAATGAGGATTTCGGACCCTTGCAGAGTGTAGGGCCAAAAGTGAGTAAAATATTGTCCAACATCTTGTTCATACAATAGTCTACTCTGTTAATAATTCATTATCTAGGTTAATATTATGTTCAACATCAAGAAGAGTTTTTTGTTAACTACTAGTTATTTAATTTAAGAGAATCCAATGTCTTTCCTTAATTTGAGGAGTAATTTTATTGCCAGCTGACAACGAATGAAAACAATTAAAAATGAACAGTTGCTCTGTTAGTGGGATATAGGTCACATTAAAACATGTTCCGTGCAGGTTTGTGTTGCAGCACGCTGATCAGTCATTTCTTAACCAATCAGCGGTGTCAGATACTTTGGGAAGACTCTAGAATCTCCTTGTGTAAAATTATAAATATACTAACGTTTTTCTTATTATTATTCTTACTTCTACTCAGCTTTGCTTATTTGAAATATATTCACGTTCCTGTTCAATCATGTTCTGATTTGGGGATCTGTCGAGCGAAGTAAAATGTTCAAAGAATGCTAAGCAATATGAGTAGCTGGGTCGCAATAGGAGAAACCAAACCATGCTCCTTGCACAGTAACATGAAGTACCTGATTATGACCTGTTTCAAGTTACTTTTCGTCATATTCTCCTTATGAATCAGTAACATGACTTTAACTAGGTAGATGAGAAAATTGCCAAACCTTGCATAAGCATAACGAATAGTGACTCCTAAATAAAATAGGTGTCTTGATTTATAATGGCTTTTTAAGTCTGTTACCATTCTTTGATGATGTCTCCTTTGACAAGTGGGTTATCTAATAAATCATCTAGGTTAGTTACTTTAATATCTAATGTGTTGAATCTAACTGAACTCATTCAACCTCTACATGCATTTCTATATTCACTACTATTTCGATATGACTAGGATACATTCAGGACACCAATACTTCCCTTACACTTATTAGAACAGGAATTCCAAGATTTATTTAATCCTGGCACTTCTAATTCATTTGTTACTCAATCGGTGAAATCATCTTTGGAGTGTGCTAACGTGAATACTTCTGCATTTAGTAATAATAACAACCAATCCGAACAGCAGTTAAAAAAAAGTGAAAACACTCTGGGTACCGTTTCAAATACCCCAAAGTCATTATCATCCCAACAGGTAACTGTCCATGTTTTTTGTGTACCTGAATTAGTTTTTTGGTAATTAAAACATTGAGCTTGTCATTAAATACCATGGATTCGAACCCCGTTTTATCTGGTTTGTTTTGGCAAACTGGTAACTGTCACTCATCCTCATAAATTTGCACTATCTCACAGCAGAATGCATACGCCTAAAATTTACATTTGACTACCATAATTAAGATGAATTTTCGCGTTTAGAGATCGAAATCAGTGATCGGATAATATCAAAAAGTCTTTTGCTGTCTGGTAACTTCTAATTACATGTCTTTTTCAAGTAGCTTATTTTCTCATTAGCTTTTTGCCAAAATGACATGACATTTATTTTGCCCCAGTTTTTGTCCAACGAAAGGTAAAAGATGACATCTGTGTATATTAAAAACACTAAGTATTTCTTTTTAATTACTTCCTCTTCAATACTCTATACTAATATATAGATACTAGACTTAATATCAAGTAAATCGTGGTGGATCAACTTAATGTATCTCAGTAGTCCCTGTAAAAACGGTAATCAATGTGTATCTAAACGGGTGCAAAATTAGGTCTAATGCCAAGACTAAATAGTCATTTAGTTATAAAAACTCTTTACATAAAAATAAACAGAACAATTAAGCATTTGAATGTAAAAGTTTTGTGTTAGTTGTGCAATAAATATTACGCCATTAGTGAAAAAGGTGCAAAGAAATTCTGTATCTTATTGTTATCAGGAGCGTTTGACTGCTGCTATGAGTGAGTTTTCAATTACCAAAGTGAATGTTAAAGATATCAATCGATATGATGTGGTCCAGCGATATCTACTCACTCAACCGAATTATTGGTATAAACCAATGACAAGACCATTAGTCATATAAATGTGGTTTTTATGTCATAAAACAACATACTAATAAACGAAAACGTAACAGAGTAAACTGGATAAATGTCATTGGTGATTGGAGGAAAGTAGTTCTATGCCACTCACTTTCCAATGAATACTTAAAACCTGGTTGTCACTCCTAATTCTGTGGCATCATATAAATTAAGTTCCTGAATTTGCTGTATAATTAGGCAAATCAGTGTACATTAATTGGAAAAGAATGATGGTAAACTGTTATCACTAATATATTGTTCTTTCTATTTTTTATTTCAACTTATATCTCGGATTTATTTTGATGATTATGTACTGAACTCGATCTATTTCAGAGTCACCGGTACACATACCTGAGGAGTCCTATACTGAATTGGAACTGCTTCCTAGTACTTCCTATTCTCAATGATACCATTACTGTTTTCAGTTCTTGTTCAAAATCACCTGCAAATGATTAATGACCCTCATTTTCGAATCGCTACACCATAGAAACCACTGTAAGACCTGAGCATATAAATCTCCGGCTAGTATTACAATATCTGTCGAATATACTTTCTGTAGAAGAACACTTAGCTGGTGGTAAAACTCATTCTTGGTCATATCTAGGCTTCAATCTGTCGGAGTGTAGGCGGAGGTAACGAAAAGACGTCGTTTCTCACACCGATTTTTCGGTACTTTGATGGGGCTTTCTAACCTAACAGCGCATAAGCGAATGTTAATGGAGGTCCAGCCGGTGAGTGCCACGTCGGTTCTAACGCTTAGTAAGACACCAACGCCAGCGAAACCAGACGAGGATCCCACAGGGTTCCCCAAACAAACGCACGTAAGACAAGTTTTTCAGAAGCGACAAGATGGAGAGTGGGTTTGTAGTACTTCACTAGAGCCTTAAGTACGGTTCTCTGATAGACGATAGACATGGACGTTAAGACTTTCTAAAGATATGCCAAAGTTTATCTGTTGTTCTATCTGCATTAGTGTGTGAGAGTTGAAGGAGGCCAGTTTGAATGGTGTACGTGGCTTCAGAAAGGCTGGTTCTGTTTTCTTAGTCTGTGGTAGCATTCAACTTTCGACCAGTCAGGGACTTGGGATCGTTTAGACAAGACTGAGTTTTCATTATAGGTTAGCTGCTGTATGATTTAAAAAACAAAGGAATATACAAAATGTGAATGAAAGGGAGTAGGTAATTGACGTAGTATAAAATACAAGAACGAATGTTATAAAATGGTTATGAATGTTATTGGTCCGAATGCTAATAAAAGTGATAATAATTTCTCTCATAGTAATCATTCGGTTTATGTGAAGGCTGGGATACTGCCCGGACCCTAGATCGAAGCAAATAGTTTACCTAAGGATCCACATCCTGAGCCTTTGACCTAAAGGTCTAATCCACAAGGCAGTGGAGCAACGTTAAAAGATGCATTCCCATGGTATCCGGTGACTAATAATCCGTTCATACGCCATTTGTCCAATTATGATTATGGAGCCCTTGTGCCCCATTGGTTTGGAGTGGCGGTTTTCCAACTCCATTATGCGGATCCTCCATGTCCACCAACCTGGTTAGAGCTGCAATTCTTCGCTTTTCGTCCTCCAGATTTCGCAAACAACACCGCGGCCGCAAGAAGGCAGTGATTAGGACTTCCTTGACAGTGGATGGATACGCGTGGCCATGTAAGAGCATTTCGAGTGGTAGACCGAACTCTCCACACCCTTAGCCGTACCAGATCATTCCCGTCTTAAGAAGAATCAGAGATGTTTAACTTTATATTATTGTAAATGTGTGTTCACACAGTAGGCTATTAAATTATTATCGTTAAGTACAACTCAGTTGAACTTACACTGATCTTGCTAAATAAGTCAAGCGTCCACTTTTCATGAAATCAATCTTCCTACTTAACATCTAATGGGTTACATATTAGCAGTGACAAGTGCTTCATTTAAAAATATATGGTTGGTCAATTTTGATGATTTCTTTCGACTGTCTCATTTTAACTGTCATTACTATTATCCACTTTGCAGTAGTATTTATGATTCTCAGACATCTCACCACTGCATTTTTTCTCTTATAATTCGAATTTACAATAGCCCACAAATCTAGATGCTTGGTTAAATCTGTTTTCTGATCTTGGGCCGATAGGTAATCCAGATACAATATCGAAGAAGGCTGGTCAAGTTACCGATGCTTGAACATCACATTGTTGTGGCAAAATGTATGCGCTTATACGGATTTTTTCCCTCCTATTATACGTTATTTACACCTCTGATGTGCGTATTTCCTTTGTTACTGTGTTAATTCATTTATTATATTTATGCTTCCTTTGGTTTTTGTCTTTTGAACATTTTATCATAAAAAATTTTGAAAACTTAAATTTCTGGTGTTAACTGTGATAGCTATTATAACGTTACGCAATCAGAAAAGTACTCCCCTGTGTTTTCTTTTACAATTTGGTAAATATTGGCATGAACTAATTACATGTGTTTATTTTGCTTTCTATAGTAATAAGAATAGTTCTCACAGCATAAATGATTATATGTATTATATTATATGTTTGATCATACCCACCAGCTGATGAAGCTGATAAATATGTTTCTTATATATCATAGTAAATGTTTGTTACGATATATATTTGAACCGACATTCCGATTTCCACAATCTTACCGTACACTTACGTTCTACGGTTAGCGGGCCATGAGTTAATATCCAGTTTGTTTTCAAGCTGGGACTTTTTAATTTAACTTTTATGGGAATGTCTTGTCACATTTTCAGTCTTGTTCGACATCAATCAAGTTGAGTATGTTTTTCCGGTACAGGTGACTTCTCATCAGGAAGGTACATCCTCAAAGATGCTTAGAGCTCTTGTTTTGGTGAGCCAATCAGAGGCAGCCTAATAAAAAGTCAATCGGTGGCAATCAGAATTGACCTGAGGGACAAGTTTATTTCATTGGCTAAGAAATGGATTAATTTCCTAAGGGTTAGCGCTGGCAGCTGGAAAATCTATGCTTGACTACACAAACCTGTACGTTAAAAGCTTCATCGTGGCCTTTATACATGTATGAGATGTGTTGTGTAACTTTTCAAAAATGTTTCGCCTCATGTCATAAGGTAACAAGAGGCGAGTCATACCTGTTAAGTTTCCCTGTCGCTAATGAAGATGTTTTGAAATTATAGTTCTGTTTTCCTGGATTACCAAAATTAAACGAAGTTTTGATGCTTCGCCATGACTGGATAACTTATATCAGGAATTGATGAGGAAGTAATATTTAATCTCGACAGGGCATCTGCCACATTGTTTTCCTTGACTTCTATGTGACGTATGTCAGGTGCAAACTGTGAAATGGATTCTAGTTGACGAATTTTGAGCGGACTATATTTATCATGATTATGTAACAAGACTTCAGTTTGAGGTATATGGCCAGTGAATATCGTGAGAGAATTGCACTCCAACATGTATTGGAGGTGTTTAATGGCAAAGTAGACAGTGTAGATCACTGACGTTGATGATTTCTGTCGGATAATTGGGGGCCTACTCGGGTCAGACGGGAATGGTGTGACCAATAGCTAATGTCGAAGGCACACCTCACTGTCAGCACCCAACATGGATTACCCCTTCATCGTATCAAGGTACTATGGGTGATTTGAAGGCCGTGCAACACAAAGAACATTATTATGGCAATATATGAGTAGGAATGAGTACATAGCAGATAGCGCGTCCTCTTAATCACTCAGCAGTTTTGCTGCATCATAACATTTCGGGGTAAAACGTCAGCAAAATTAATTCACCTCCAGGGAGCGTCTTGGTTTCTTGAGTAAATCGGGTTAGGAATAATTCTTGATGGCCGCACTTGCACCTTTGCTGGCGGTAGGTCATCTATGTAAGCATATGCAGACGGCAAGTTGCGTATTATTTGATCAATAGAACGTTAAAAACTTTGTGCAGCGTTCTTTGGCACAGAAAGCATGCGGACAAACTCCTATGGCCCGAAGGGGTAGTAGTAGCTGTTTTGAGATCGTCTTCCGGATCAATTAGAATGTAATGGTTTTAACGGATGAGATCAATCTTTGCAAAACCGTTGTGTCAGATAGACCAAAAGTATAGTCACTTCAGAGTGGAGGAGAGCATCTATGTGGTAAGGTCTGACTGTCAAGTTTTCTGTAGTTGCCTCAAGGTCTAATATGGGAACAGTACTTCTTGATTACCATATGGAGTGGCGTTTCTTCACGGACTATCGTAAGGGCTTATGATGCCTAACTTTATCATCTTGTTCAATCCGTTCTTTGTGGGGGCGAGACGAGAGAGAGTCGAGAGGTTTTGGATGTGCAAACACTGGTAGTCCGTCTGTCTTAATGTGGTGTATGACGGCATGTATCGATTTGCCACGCTTGAAACTCAGCCGTAACAATTCCGGGAACTGATTGAGTAAATTGGTATATTTATCTTTCTAACAGTGAGGTTTGATCAATAACTTTATGGACGTCGCGTCTGGCATAATTCCTTTGATTTCACAATTATAATTGGCAGAGATAAATTTCTGGTTTCCAACGTCTGACAGTATTTTGTGAGGTTGCAAAATTCAATGCCGACTATGGAAACGAGGACATTGGATACAACGAAGCTCCACGAATGGTTGCATTTGTGACCAAAGTGTAATCATAGCAGTCATATTCCACATATTTTGATTTTTGATCTATTTATAGCTTACATTTTTCTCTGTCGTTTGACTTTGGCTCAAACTACATTGAGAAGTATATTCAAAGCAAATGAGACTCTTCAATTTACACGAACACAGTTTAACACTAGGATAGTTTACAACACTGTTTAAAACACACCCACTGCCTCACTCTAAAGTTCACGAGGCTACTGCACCAACTCTCCTCTAGAGAGATGAAAATCTATTACATCAAGTACAGAGGCGGGCAGCCAAGCAGGTGGTAGTGCTGTGGCACAAATCTTGTGTGGGCAAACTCTAACACTTGGGATTATTCTCGTCGAGCTATAGGAGAATAAGAGGTGATCCGATAATGGCATGCAGCATATTGAGTACGCTAAGCCATCCCAACACGAGCGTGTTACCAGAACACCATCGCCACGCCCCTCGTGGCAACACTCGAAAAACTGCACATGGAATGCTCCCTCAGCTTAATCGATCACAGTGTAGGGCTTCAAGAGGAGACTTGACAAACACACACTCACCCTTGGATTTCCATCTCCCTCTTAAGCCAGCCGTGGCTGATGTATGTTTTGCAACATATTATCAACTTATTTTTACCTTGCTATCTAGGAGCTCAAAGCAAATTTCAGCCCTTCAGGAGTTAAAGACCGGTGGAAGTGCAGAAATAGCCTCAATTGGAGTAGAATTAGGTAAAAGATTTTCAGGATTATCAATTGACATGATACTGAGGAACAATAATAAAGATAGCAGTGACAATAAGTCAAGGATACACAAAATAATGTAATAAAAAATAACAACAAAAAATATATACGATGGAAGATTATTTATACTGGTAGGCGCTCCTCGTTCTATTGAAAGAAAAAAACCAGACTAGTAACGAATAAGTCTTTTCTTAGACTATGGGACAACACACAGTGAAGCGCAAAGTTACCTTTGCAAACACACAAAACTTTTCAACGTCTAATATGGAATAATAGGAAATATAATACCAATACAGAATAGAGGAGTGAACGAATTCTCTAACGTTCTGATATTCAATCGGTTGTCTTTGGTCGATTCTTAACCATTTGATCTAAGTTGCTACATAAGTTTCCTCCAAAAATCGACTTCCGTGGGCATGTTGGTTCGATCAACGTACCTAACAATAACGTGTCAGTTCTCTTTCCGCAGCCTACAAAAGTATTACTAACTACCAAAGTGGTGTTGAAGTGCTATTAATGTCTCAGGCTAAAGTTAACAGTTTGACATTTTGACAGGTTAAGAATGATATCATTAACAACAGGCCACCATTCAACACGAGAGAAAAACTCATTCATTTCTTTGGAATGTAAAGAGGTAGAAATCAGCATACAGACAGTGAGATCTTCCGCATATTTTACAAGTGTTTTCTGTGGAAGATCGTAGATCACGCAGAATATAAGAAGTGAAAGAACAGCTCCTTGTGGCAAACGTTCATTAGACAGTAGAGAAATTAAACACTCTCCTCTAAACACAGTGTACTGTTCTGTACAAGAGGGTAGGAACATAGCCAGTTGGTTATCCACTTGTATGTGTTGACGCTGACTAACTTGTTAAGTCAAAGTTGTTTTGGGGTAGAATAAAAGGCAGAAGTATAGTACAGAAAAGCGCGTCGAACATGTTTTTTCTACCCCTGTTCAAGCTGAACACTACATTGTGTCGAAGAACAGCAAAGGAATCCAAGGTGCTTCTTTCGCATTTGTAAGTGAACTGACACGGATCAATGTGCCATTTTATTGACGGTTAAAGTGGGAATATCAACAATTTTTCCATTGTTTCGAAGAAAGGTAAAATTATTGCTGTGAGTCTAGGTTTCACATTTTTATCACCAGATACTTTCTTATGTACACGGATTATCTTTATCTTTCTCCACATTTTCTGTACGAGATTAGTTGAGAGGAATCTGTTAATGATACTCATGAATGGATAAAATGGAACATTAGCATATTTTTAGAGAGGAGGTTTGGGCTTCCATCAGCTCCTTAACATTCGGATGAATTTGGAAATAGATGAAAGTCAAAGGTCGAACCGACAGGAGATATTTGGATATTGGTTTTATTGGACACTTGACTACTTAGGGAAACAATACGGGGTCATTTAGCGCCGGGTTATGTGAAATGGAACACCTCGTTACTTTTTGCTGCAGTCCGATATTCACAACATCATGTTTGAAGGATTGGGAGAAGTTCGGCAGAAAGAATTTGTAAGTGATTTTGAAGAAACCACGACAAATAATGGTCTAATTCGGCACTAGTCTTGTTGCGCTGTAAAAACATAGTGGTCTTGCATCCTATTTTCAGTTTTAAATCCTGATTTTACTTTGATAGCACCCTCTTAGACTTTTGTTTTGGATTTGCGTGCACTGATGGCTGCTTTCGTGCGACACGCCATTTCTATTTGTGTTTGATGTATATTCCTATATCCGTCGATTCAAGGTTAATGGTTGTGATAAGATATATTTGTCGTTTAGTTTCATCGTAAACGCCTATATTCATGCCTTCTTCACTGCTTGAAATGCCTGTTATGTGGTCTATTCGCCTTGTATTTACATCACATATTGTGTTTGAACGATGTGAAATTTTAATTGCATCATCTAAAAAATTAATAGGCCTGAAGATTCTTGCAGTTGTTAATCGTAAAAAAGCTGACTTGAGCAATTAGGTTCTCATTGATCCTTTGTAGGGTCTAAACATCAATATGGTCTTGTATTGTTTCAAGTCTTGTCAAACTAGCCTTAATGTTAATAAGCAACGTAATGCAGTGTAAAATAAGCTAACAGATTTTAGTAGATATTGTTGAATCGATGCACAATCCATCCAAATAGAGTCCGAATACGAGAACAGTTTACTTTTGTGTCGACTGACTGGGGTCCACTACAGAACAATAACACCAATGTCTGGGCAACCAACAGTCGAAGAAATTAGGATGACCACTAGATGAAAAGCAGCAGGACCCGACAGCATACCTGCCGATGCTCTTAAACCGAAAAGGGAGGCTGCTGTGAAGAACACGAATTATAGGGTGATCAGAGCTAGACAATGGTGCACGTTACGAGTTATTTATGTATCCACGTCATTAATGAAAATAAAGTGTAAATGAGCATCCAGGTGAGTGGGAAAGTCTACCACATTTTGGTGACCTAGTGATAAAAGGAAGCCACGGTCACATGAATTGAAATCACCACATACAATTGAAAGTGAACCACTGAAGGCAGTAACATCAAATTCACTGAATTCATAAGTGAAAACAGATAGTGCAGATCATGTGAAGTCTGGAGTCATGTAGATGTTGGTAACATAAACATATTCGTATTTATACAGGTGTTTTGGACGGCATTTCAAAGTTAAACAGTCGATAAAGTCATTTGGAAATTCGGAACATACAAAAAATAGATCGACACCAGTTCACGGTTGCAGACGTTTCTACACCACCGTCACACCTCTGTTTATTGCTCGATCGAGCCTGAGGACAGACATTAAAATCACGCAGTGATACTAAGCAATCGTCCCGTAGATCAGTTAATCCAGATTCTTGAATTGTGATGACACCACAATTACGATATATGTTTTGGCTTATTAGGAATCGGAGATAGCCAGCCTTGTTGATTAGTGATCGACAGTTAGGATTCAGCAGCTTGGGAACCGACATATGATTAATGTTCATTCTCTTCAGTGTATGTTGCCAACCACCACGATGTCTCTGATCGTATTTTTTGCAACTTCTGCGATGAAAGGTCGTAAGCTTTCATAAACACGCCCGTATAGATTCTATGATCAGTCGACATAACGAGGCGCTAAAACAAAGTAAAAATAGATCGCCAGTTGAAGTATTTAGATGGCATAATTAGGTAACCCAGATATTCAAGCAGGCAGTCGAGCAGGTATAATAAGTAAGGAAACTTTTATCACTGATGATTGGTCGCAATATGAAATTTTACAGTCAGACAAGTAGTTGTGCAGTCTTTTTATTGTCTGCACCATAGCTAAAACCTTCGTAATGGGCCCAAGAATATCCTCGTTCACTCTTGCTTAACGGTTTCAAAGTAAAAATAATAGGTTTTTCGTTTCGTTCCAAAAACTCACTTTAACCCAATGAAGGTGCATCCGTAGTATGGAAGAATTTCAGTCGGCGTAAGTAGTATAAGGAAAACCTCACCATTTAAAAATTGTAGAGTGCTCCTTAGTATATCCTCGTCTTGTTCATCCCATACGAATTGTTTACTAGAAACCAAGTTGAAAGATGAAAATACCACTTCGTAAAGTTAGGACTAGATCTGGAATAAATTTGAGGAGCATCGGTCGATGATCTAGAGGCTGAGATATTTATTGGTGATGTTGCTTGAACCAGCGGAGCTAGATGACTCACATGGAGTTTGAAACCCTTATCATCTACAATGTAGCTTAGGCACTTAATAGAATTAATCTGAGGCTGACATTTCAAAGGATTATCGGCTACATTCCTGCTACAAAAGCGTATAAGTGACTTTGAAAGTTCATTATGCAACTGAATATTTATGGCATGAACTACGATATAACCGTGGTATGACTGAACATTATCAAGAAGAGTGTCAAATTTAGTTCACAATCTACTGACATATCACACGGGAAACATTTTATCCGTAAGGTAGGAACTTGTATCTCAACAGAGCTAATGATGTATTAATGGTAGGTAGTTCATTAGAGATTTTGTCTAATGAAATTTGCAAGTATGTATCTTTTATATCTAATTCTCCCACCTAGAATTTCAACACTAAACTTCCTCTTTCGGTTTCCTCCTCAAGTGTCACCATGTCCAACGATTCTAGTGCGCGAAACTCTGTCCCAGGTCTGTTAAAACCTCGCTCCAAGCTACATATTGGATCCTTGAGAACGATCTTTACTCGAATACTATCAGTCGAGTAAGAGCTTTTGGCGAACTGTCATCTGATTTTACAACCTCAAGTGGTGTCGAACAAGACTGTCCACTATCCCCATTTTTGTTTAACATCATTATAGACCTATTGCTGGAAATAACACTCATCGACTAAATTTTCAGGAATTCATCTCCTACCAGGAGGTCCACTCATCGACTTAGAATACGCAGATGACATAGTTCTGTTTGATGAAGACGCTGACAAAATGCAGTCTTCTGTTAGAACTGAGTAATAATGTCAGGATGTTTGGGATGCGTTTCTCCCCATCTAAATGTAATTTGTTACTCCAGGACTGGTCTGCATCAACACCTGAACTAAGGATAGGGAGTGAAGTAGTCGAACTTGTCGACAACTTCACTTTTCTTGGAAGTCTGATCAGCCCTAATGGGTTGGTGTCTGACGAAATCTCAGCACGGATTCAAAAAGCTCGCTTGGCTTTTGCCAACTTACGTCACCTATGGCGAAGACGAGATATCCGTCTATCAATTCAGGGACGAGTATACTGCACAGCAGTTCGTTCTGTCCTACTTTACGGCTGAGAAACGTGGCCATTAAGAGTAGAAGATACCAAACCAAAACGCGTCATCAGAGCTTGAAGTCACTAACTTCGAGTCTGAGCCATGTTGGCAGATGCAGACTACCTGGTTGGGGTCCGAGTGACTATCGTAATCAATGGTTGGAGACTGAGTGACACAGCTAAGAATTGATCACAATGACATAGGTATATGCACTCTCTTTCTTCCCTTAAACCTTAAGATTAAAATTACTTCATATCTGTCTTTCTTCCTGTAATATATCCTTATATGCAATCCTTTTATATATTACTACCATTGAAGTAACTACTTCTATGAATTTGGTGTTCATCTTGTTGTGCTAACAAGGTATGGCAACTTGGACCGATGCATAAATGTGCCTGTTCCTACGTTGTAGCTGACTGATTGACTGATATTCATTAAGAGCATCTCACAGTTGCGGTCTAATTGAAGACTGATGGCAATTAACGCTGCCTCCTCTCTCCGCATCTCCGGATTTTTGATCGGGTTGTGGGGACTTTCGCATTACAGCCACGGTACGGAATACAGTGGACACCTTGGACACAGCTGTATGGTTTAGATTTCGCAAATAATTTAGCGCTTTTGCATATTCAAAGACTTTTGATGTTGCAGCGGCATCTGGAGCAGTAGGCCTCAACATTCATAAGGAATAGAGCAAAATCCTAAAATACAACATAGAGAGTAGCAGCTAAATCACACTTGATGGAAAAGCTCGGGAAGAGTTTGGAGCCTTTGTATATTTGGGGAGTATCATTGGTCGATAAGGAGGATCTAATGCAGATGTGAAGGTACGTGCTGGGATACTTAGGACAGCATCCTTACGGTTGCAGGACATTTGGGACTCAAAATAACCATCAGCCAACACCATTCAGAATTTCCCTTACAAACGTTAAAACCATTATGTTGTATGAAACAGAAACTTAGTAAGCCCCCACAACCATCGTCAAAGAGTATAGGTATTTGCGAACAGCTGTTTACTCAAGTTACTCCAGATCCATTGGCTAGACATTATCATCAACAACCTACTGTGTCATAAAAGAAACAAGCTTCAAGCTGTAGAGTAAATTAGGAAAAAATGATGAAGGCGATTGGGAGAATTTACAAAAACAGTTACACTGCCCCCGCATGCCAAGCCCTAATTTGGACTCTTCAAGATAATAAGAAGAGAGGGAGAATAAAGATCACGTTGCTTGAAGTTGGGGGCAGACAACAAAAGAATAAATAACACTTTGCGAACACTGGAAAAAGGAGTCCAGGATTGAATAGGTTGTAGGATTCTGGTCAGTAGCCCATTATCCATGAGAAGTAGCAGGCTTAAGTAGAGTTAGCTACATACACTACTACTGTCATTGTCCTTTAAAGGTTAAACGATTGTAAGACCATTGTTTTAGAGTTCAAAGTGTACATTCACCTTTTTGAAAGATATTTTATGTCTGAAAAGTATCTGTATGGCTGGAAGCGTAATCTGAAGCTAACTTTATTTGCAAGTACAACTTCTTCGTAATAATGGCCATCTAAATGTTTTCGGAACTGCGATTGGATCTCGAAAACCTTTGACTTTATAATGTTACCATCCTTTATACTTGTCCTAGTTGCTTATTATTCGTTTCGTCAACCTGTTTTTGCGAAGGTTCTTACTATCATATTTCAAACTGTAATGTTTCAAAATTCTGCAGCTTAAAACAAGTCTTTTTTTCTTTACAGTCTAACAAAGTGCAAAGAAGGTGGGGTGACTGCATCTGTCAAATTGTTCACGGATTTGGTATTGAAATTGATAAATGGAGAAGGGAAAATTGATATACTTGTCAAATTAGTTCCTGAGCTATTTAAAGTATGTTTGACGTAACTTGCCGGGGCTCATTACCTTTTTTACTAGATATTTGGTGGTAATGAATCCTTTGAATCCGACCTGTTAGACTCACTCTGGTTAATTGGTTAGTATATATGTATTTCAAAAATATCTGAAAATTCCAAACTTCTCATTTAGACTCGTCAATCGCTGATATTAATTCTGAATTAGTTCGAGATCGTTTCTATCGGTTAATAGAAATTCTTAGGAATCATGTGGATCCTGCTTTGATAATGGAGAGGTTTTGTGAAGACACCTTGGAAAACCTGTCATTCATTCAGTCGAAACAACAGTTCCAAACGCGTTATGTTCGTACTAAAACGCGTTTATTTTTCAAACAACAAAAATTTAATTTGTTACGTGAAGAAAATGAAGGCTACGCCAAACTGATCACAGAATTGTGTCAAATAACGTCAACTGCGTCGATGGAAGCCGTCATGATTCAGATCCGGTCATTAATTGGTTATTTTGATTTGGATCCAAATCGTGTCCTGGACTTAATATTGGATGTTTGTGAATTCCGTGGTGATATGTACGAGGAATTTGTTCAGTTGATAAGACTTTACAATCCTGATAGAATAGATATGACTAATATATTGGGACACAAATATCATTTTACACAAGTATTTTAAGTTTAATTCTTTCAATTATGCATTTCTTACAGGAACCCGGTGTCAATACGCCAGAGTCATTGTATAAAGTTTCAGCATTTTTAATTTGGAAAAAGCTAATTGACCTGGATGTATTATACGGACATGTAAGTTATTCAGTCATTAAAAAAAAGAAATGGGAAATTTTGCAAGCTACATGTTATTTGTAGCACAGTTTTCGATATATTCGGTGATCGATAGTCTTTACATCGTAATTTTTTTCGGTTAGTTGGCGAGATATTTGGTTGTTATCTACAATAATTCATTTCTTATTCGTCAAGTGTAGTTGAGTTTTCACACACTACATAGTGATAACTGGAATGGCGTCTTGTAGAAACCGTTTTCTTTGGTTGTTATGAGTTGGCTGTTTATTCTTTCATTACTCTGACATTCATCGAATAGCGTATCATATACTGGAATTGGACACTATACGTCGTACAGTGTTTAGCAGTCGTATAGTGGTGTGGTTCACGGTTTAGTATGTAAGAATGTATTTGGTTGCTTATTTGGATTGTTATATATTCAAGAATTAACGAAGCTTACATGATTATATACTAAGTCCCAAGCAGCAAATAAATTCCACTGTACACGTGATAACGTTAGACGTGTGATCATCGTGTCACATATTCCGCGGAACTTCATACAGCTGTTCATTCTCGGTCTTGAATGGTTGGATGATTTTTATTTACCAGCTCATTAGATATCTGTTCCGAACATATTGTACAGAGGTTTCTAATACTTTGAGCGCATACGTTAATATAATTATTGAGATTAACTTTATATTTTTTACCGGAACCCATTGTAATGATCATATTTACTTATAATGGAACTTGTCAGTGTTAAATAAATAAATCATTTTCTATCCATCCTTTCGATATTTAGTTCTGTAAATAAAGTTCAGTTTCAGAATTGTATCCATCTATGTATGCAGTAAACGAAGGAAAAATAGTTCTATCCTATTGCTAGTAGTCTTGCTTTAGCATTTAGTTGTTGCTTACAAAATACTAAGTAGTTCAACCATTGTGACAAAAGTTTTCACTTGAATCAACTGTTTCCCTTAGGTTCAGTATGCACGCAAATATGGGATTATCATCTATCCACCACCTCCGATAACTGTATTATAAGCGTGAAATTATATATTCTTGTTTTACTTGACACTACTACGCAGCTCTTGTTAATACTCGCACAAATTAAATATTCTTTAAAACTAATTTTGCAAGTTCCCGTTTTTTAAGGTTCAGTATGGCTAATTTTCTCGCAATTTGGATTTGATCATCTTTAAAATCAGTATGTATATGCATGATTTTCCCTTCCCCGTTTCGAAGTATACTCCGACGGTAAATTAGTTCGATCGACGGTAGTAGTTTATATATATATAACTCAAAAATACCAGATTTAAACCAGTGGAGGTTATAAACCCGGTATTTCCTTTCTTGCCTACTTTATACAAATTTCCTACAATTTGATCATAATTCATTTGCTTACATACAAAGTTTTACTCATAAAACCTCAATGATAGTGATGGTAATAATAGCAGTAATGAATAAACTCATTTGATAGGTACTTGGATAGGAAGCGCACTCTAATTGTGAGCGATAATGATACAACCCGCTTGTCCAAACCGAGGTAGATGGAACGCGATTCAAAACTGTACCTTAGTCCTGAAAGTTGAACTCCTTAACCAATTAGCCACCGCTCCATTTGGTATTGTTAAGGAAATCCATAAGTTCTGTAGGTGATGCCTGTCGATATTATTTACACAAACTAGAAAATGTGTGCATGATATTTACGTTTACATTTGCCCATTGACAGTGGTTTACACCATGACTGTTGATTTCCTAACAGTTTTATTAATTATTCTAAAAAATTTACTTGAATTACTATACTAGTTTTCTAGTTCAAGCATCTCTTCAATATTTTCTAACCTATCTGAAATATTAGCTTGGTTTGACTCGTGTGTAGTTTTCATTTACAGTTGTTTTATTGGCTCATTTTTCAGGCAGACTTATTTTGTCCGTGTTCCTAGGTGAGATTAACAATAGAATCGTCTACAGAACATGTATTGAGAGTAGATTATACAAAGCTTTAAGAGTACTGTAACAAATTACCGAATCAGTTTGTATGATCTCATGCAATCGTTCTGTATTCCATAAATAATACTGCAGGCCCACTTTCTTATATCCGCAATATCTTTAGAAACATAGAATTGATAATAACTGAAAAATTACATTATTATGTACCAATCTCTAGCGTAATTTAACCTAAGATGAGGGATTAACATAATTCATTTATGTATAACCTTTTTGCGTGAAGACTTTCCTTAGTGCCTGTCAGGATGGTCGCAAGTAATCTCTTCGCGTTATCAGAAGGATTTCATTTGATGGTAGTGTATTCATGTTATCTCTAACTGTAACAAGACATCCTACTACCTGGATGTTACAAGCAGGTATTTGCTAGTGAAATCGGCTTCTACTGATAGCCATTTCAGTTAACGTTGTGTAGTGTTTGGTTTACGTTACTCCAAACTAAAAATTCTTGTTTTTAACTTAAACTGCTTAAACTTACTAAGTATTGTGGACGTTTTTTTACAAAAGTGTACCTTCACTTCAGATTGGACTTCATGTTATGGGACTGCTTTACATCTACGAATAAGTTGAGATGACTACCAAAATGTTTGTGTGCAGACTAGACTTTTGATGTATTAAAAAAGTTGTAAACATATATCCATCCTAAAAATTTCGAAAAAGCTTCAGATGAAGTGTCTGGGCTTTGTCTCGTTTGTTTTGACCGCTTTCTTTTCATTTGGAAACCGTAAATCATTGCTTAATTGGAAAGTCTTCAAGTGTAGTAGTGTCTTTAGGATCAATAGGTATAGATTATTTTTACATATAAAGAATATTGCTGATTTGTCAGTGTTACTCATTTCAGTGGTTCATGTGCCATCAAATCTTTTTCTTGTTTAATCAGCGCATACAGAAATAATGGCCCTGTTGTTGAGAATAGAGAAAAGATAATGCGTGCACTAATAACACTAATAACATTTTCTTTCCTTAGATCCTAAATTGCAAAATTATTATATTCTTTATGAAACTATGTGGAATACTGTTCAGTAATCTAATATTAGCAAAGAAATGTCTATTCAATCATCGTCAATGTTCCCATGTTATTGTTTGTTCTTCATTCATAAATCGTTTAAGTGCTTCTGTTTTATAGCTGGCTTATAAATATTTTTCTTAGTGTCATTTCATAATATTTATATGATTATATTCAGTGTAAATAGTGCAGTTGATTCAAGCGTATTGTGCTATGGTCATCTCTGGAAATTAATCTGAATAGCTGAAGCTTTGTAGATTGCTATGTTTTGTTTTATATTGCTACGAAATAATCACTTGATGTTCACCTCTCAGTATTTTAAGTTTTAGTGCTTGAGTTCTTCTACTTTGTTGTTTATATTCTGGAAGGTGGTTGGCATTGTAATCTAGTATCCATGCATGTTTTTGTTATCGTACGAGACTCATGAGTAAAATATTTCTATATCCCAGTGTTCATTTTCTCGGTATACATAATAGACTAGTTTGAAAAGGAAGAAATTGTGTCTTTCGAATTCAAGTACCCTCAGTTTCACCATCCAAGTTATAACCAACTTGTAAATCCAAACCATATTGTGACTCGTGTGTTATAGAAAATGAAAAAACAAGTTCCGTCTGGAATATAAGAAATCAGAAAATATTAAATCCTCAAAATAAGCAATATATATAATTTCCTGTTGGTTTTTCCACTGAGATCCAACTGTAAAATTGTTTCAATGTTTCTCAACTTGCAACTGTTTGATTATGATAATGGATTATATCTTTTTGTTGTAGCCAAAATATTTTGAAAATTTCGATTGATTTTCTCCATATATATATATATATATATATATATATATATAGTTTGTGGATTCCAAAATTAATTCAAAGATTTAACGTCATATTATCATATTCATTCATGTTGTTCCTTCATAATTCGTGCAGTTAAGAAACTTTCTCTCTTTGTGAATGTAATTCTGATGTATACAAGTCTTTTGTTATGTAGTATACTAATGTTAGTGTTATTTAGGGTTCAAGAGTTCTCAAGAAAGGTTTGTTGATTGTATTCCCTTGCTGTCTAAAGGTTAGGGGAGCTATATTGTTTAATTTAGACAACAAAATTTAAACATTGATTTACTATCCCATGGCTTTTTCTTCAAGAAAGTCATTTGAATGAGTCATGTATATTGGTACTACTTAAAAATCAAGGCTATTTTCCATTATTTTAAAAATAACTATTCAATATCATATTTTTGGTTGCAATAACGAGTAACTAGCAAAAATTAAGCAGTATTGCTTAAAAAGTTTTAAACATTGATTAACTGCTATTTATAGTCATCTGCCAACGTTTTCGACCATTTAAGCACTATATAACTTATTCACTTGTGTCGTGCATGAATATATGTGGAGGTAAGTACACCAACCATAGTGGTGGTACTGGTTAAATTTCTCAGTATTTAGCTTCACGATAGTTCGTAAATTTTTTTCATCAAATCACCTAAATGCATTGTCCAGTTATCATGTATAATTAATTATCTTGGTTAAAAAATGTAGTAGCAGTCAGCTCAGGAAATGACTCGGTAGCATGAAAGAAGGCTATGTAGGTCTGGTATCTGTCGGTCCATCACGACCCGCTGGTTGGGTGGGGTCCTCCAGATAATGGAATTTAGTGGCAACCGTGATGTAATTTCATTGCACATTTTTCATAAAAGATAAGTTCTGTTGACTAAAAGAAGTTTTTCCCAGTTTTTTTTTACTGAGCTATATCTCTTACTGTGTAATATACTCATTCACTTATTTTTTTATTGTACTCCTTCCCTCCATCCACAATGTTATTTGTTTATTCGTGCTTCGCAAAAAGTTTCGGTAAACAACTGTATTGGCTTTTATGTGGATTAAATAAAAAAAAATTCAGTTCTAAAACCAAGGTGATTAATTTATTCCAGTAGTTGCGCAGTTCGAAAGTAGGTGAACCGGAATTTTGAACAGTTCAATATCATATATTCACATCAAGTTCGTAGCATTAAAAAAATATTTAACATCATTATCTTTATGTGCAATCCACTTTAAATCTAGCCTCTTCGTTTTTTAATGTATGTTCGTTTTCGTTGTTGTTATTTGTGCCCTGTAGTTAACTCCATCCGATGCAGATATTCAGCAATCTCATAATCGTCAAATTAACTTGGCTAAATCTTATCGACCACAACCTCCTGCAAGTTTATCTTATTCAGCAACTACGGCGATCAATACCTCGTTAAATACTGCAATTAGTAATGATTTAATTCGTGTTGATGGTAATTTACGGATCAATTTCCTGTAAAAAGAAATCATTTTATGTTTAGGTCTATTAAGTCAGGATTCTCAACTTGGTGGTGGTGCTAATAGTGCTGTTTCTGGGACATTGATGACAAACGATTGGAATGGTCCGAGGACGTCAGGAGCGCTAAATTCTCGCTCTGTAGACGAACTTATGCAATTGGAGGAGAATTCCGATGTAAATTTGAGTAAAATCAATTCACATGATGTTGCTGATGTTGGTATGATAGATATAAGTATTGATCAAGATGGATTGGTAAGCTTTTTGAATTTATTTTCATCTTACTTGAATGAATTTTTAAGTGTGTAAACACCTATCATCCCACTCCTGGCACGCGACACTCCCTATATTAACTTGTTCAATGTTTGTCTGAATAGAAATAGTTTCGTACACTGAAACGTTTTTTGATTTTGTGCCAAAAAGCGTAAGATAAAGTTATTAATATCACCCAGCCACTTAAATCTAAGTAGCGTAAATCAAGATTTCCATTGGTGATACAAGTCAGCGAGAATAGAACTCGTTATTACTTTCACCTGTCCTTTGCTCAACCAAGACGGATGTTGCTCTTGTATGCGATGACGGACTTGCTGAATTGTACGCTTTACATAACTGGCTCAATAGGAACAGTTGAATCATTAGCACACATGGATGTGGCGAATTCAGGCAATCTGTGCTTATTAACAGTTCTTATTATGGGACGGTTGTAGAAAACGGCGCTCAGTCTGGCTCCACTAAATGTTTTCTGTACTGCCTTTCTTAATCTTTGAGTCACAATTTCCTTAGTAACATATAGAAATTGTAATTTTAGGAACAGTACTTTCTGCGCGACTGTTATTACCTTTGTTCTTCTCTGCATCTCTTTCATGTATTTGTCGATGAATTTCGTTGGGTAACCATTCACACTAAGCAAGTCACGAATATTAATCAATTCATCTACAATGGTGTCATCCGAGAAAATCAATCTAGCACGATGATTCAGGATCTTTATTATGTTTCTTTTGTATCTGATTGGTAAAGCACTATAGAAATGACTATATTCTATCTATCCCTCTTTTAAATGTTCCATGTACTCTTCTAGCTAGTTGGATACCGAGAAACGATATGCTATTATTTTGTTCTTCTTGCTTAAAAGTAATCTATGGATGAATGTTATTAAATATGTTAGGTAAATTATATAGCGATAGTAAGATGTTAGATGACTGTTTGTGTCCTTAGGTGGTTCAATTTCGGCAAGAAAAATATCTGCCAGTATAGGTCCCAATGGTGACCCCATGAAGCCCCCAAATTTCTGGTACGGCCGAGGGTGGGGAGAGTCCGCTCTCCCTCTCGAAATGCTCTCACACGGCCACGTGTATATAGCCTCTGTCAGAGAAGTCCTACTCACTGCCTTCTCGTGGAGGGGGTGTTGTTTACGAAATCGATAGGACGAAAAGCGAATGTCCGGTGCTTTAACTGGGTTGATGGACACGGTGCGTTCACCTAGGGTAGTTGGAAAACCCTGATTCCAAACCAATGGTGCACATGGACTCCAGTATTGTGATGGAACGAATGGCGTATGAATCAATCGTTGGTCTCTGGCTATCATGGGACTGCATCTCCTCACGATGCTCCACTGCCTTATGGATCAGATCTTTAGGTTAAGGGCTCCTTGTGTGGCCCCCTAAGAAAACCACCTGCTTCAGTTTGGGCACTTGGGTCGTATCATAGTCCTCACACAAATCAAATGAGATTTGTGAGGCGCATGTGTATCTGGTGCTTCCTTGTGCCAATATTTATGTGTTTGAATAAAATAAGTAAATGACCCCATGGCTACACTATTCAATTTTCTATAATATTCATCGTGGAATCGGATGTTGAACATTTATCGTGCATCTAAGAATTAGCTGTTTCATTGAAGATTGAGGAAGTAAGCTTCTCATGCACATTCCTGTTAATTCATTGCAAATAAGATCCACTGTTTCAAGAAGGGAATGTTGGCGAATAAGGAAAATACATTTAATGATATCATGAAGTTATTCTTGACCGACGAATTTTTTATATGATCAACAAATTCAAATTAATCTTTGACACTACGCTTAACAATTTCTTTGTGCAATGGTTTGAAAATTTGGTGTAGGTTGAGGTTTTTATGTTTAAAAATGATCGAAGGGGCGGTCCCCTTTTCATATTTTTGTCAGACCATATAGCCTTGGTGTTATCGTTCCTGCAGGTCTCAAAATTTTGAACACTTCCGAAATAAAACCTTTTTGTTTAGTGTTTTATTGAGTATTAGCATTAGATTCTTGCTATGCCGTGTTACGCTAGACTACTTGTACGATCGAACGTCGCAAGAGCGAAGACAGAAGACTAGTAAGTAGGAATGTATTTCCCAAATCAATGTCAATTATTGTACAAAACTGTCAGGTGTTTAGTTTTTAGTAAAAACGAAGTCATCGTTATAGTTATCCAATCCACCCCAGGGGGTTAATAGCATTGTCCGATTGGGAAACTACTCGTAGTGATTTTCTACTATTCTTCCACAAGCTGATTGGATGGAATATTTTCGGCTTTTTCTGAGCTTCTTAGAGCTTTCTCAACTTCTCCTGTGAACCGTCCTCACAGTCTGCCACGTCATTCTTCACTACTAGTTTTTGAAATTTACTCTTATCATTTAAAAGGACCTTCATTCTGTTTAAATAGTTGTTTTTATCCATGACTACTACACCATAACCTTTGTCTGGTTTCGTGATTATTAAATGGTCATCAGCTTTTGTTATGTTCAAAGAGATTATGATATCACCTAAAATCAACGAACGGAACGTAGGATTAGCGACAGAATAACATGACAAGCTTAACTATTCCGATGCTGCCCAGCCCTGCTAACTATAGGGAGAAGACCTTGTTCAGATAAGAGAAAGTTATTCCACAGGCATCCAGAACCATGAACAACCAAGCACACAACGAAAGTGTATATTTATATACAGCATAAAAATCTCCTTGGGAGATGTCATAAAATAGCAAATAAAACGAGGGGACGAACCAATGACATTTAGGTCCCTTTCAAGTGAGAAAAACAATCTGAAGGTAAAAGTAGGCGCTTTTGGCGCGAAAACGAAAAATCCGAATTCCCAAAATAAAATTACAAAAATGAGACGTTTACCAAGTGGTTTCTGGAGATCTAGCATCCCCAACAGTTGTAAGTTTCCTTAAAACTTCCCTATATTTTCTCGTCAAAATCCCTTTCAAATTATGTCCATGATTTATGTATCTATAGCAACAGTCTACTGGTGTTGATTTGAATCTCAATATTATCTTTTGATGAAGTTACCGGTTCTGGCGTTTGAGCATAAAGATTTTCAAATTGAATTTCAACGTCCATCTTATTAAACTTTTCTTTAGAGTCACATGATTCAGTACCTAGTGGTAGCGTTTCTAACTTAATCTTATTGAACTTTGAAAAATTGTGTACATACTGACCCGGATTACATGGAAATTTTATTTCTGGGATCTATTTGTCTAGATTTCTCTTAATTTTCTTCTCTCGGTTCGTTAATTACTCAATTTTTAAACGAATACTAAATCCACTGATTAATTTTTTCACAAAATATCTTAATTTTACTACAGTATGAAAATAACCAAAAGTTAGAGTTATGTGCTGCTATGGTTCGTTTAGGCGATTGGACAAATGTTCAACGTCTGTTAGAACGGCTACCTGGTTATTGGGCGACTACATATGAACCTTTAACACGAGACATATGCAATTTGTTGCATTGCTTAATTGAACCTTTGTACAATAAGTGAGTACTTATCCATATATTTCTCATATTGAAAGCCACAAAATTATCGCAAGTAAATATTTCTATAAGTTATTGCCGGATAGATATTTGAGTACCATCGTTAAACGTTTCTATTATTTGCACAATCATTCAGTTAAAAATATTGACACTGTCCTAGCTTAATGTGTGTGAAATAAATTGTTATTCACACATACCAATCTTGATTCCAAATCCTGATGCCCAAACATATGTACCTGGCTACCAAGTTTCCAATTTACTTAGCAATCCAGTCTTTTTACCACTGTGTGAGCTCACTACATTGCTTGGAATTATAAATAGAGTTCCGATGGTAGCCTGGCGTCTAACCCACGAAACTGCTCCACTCTTCTTTAAATCATACCACCTACGATAAAAGGGAGTAGTTAGAGCACTTAGATCCAATTATTATGTCTCTGATTCAAATCCTATAACTATGTCTTTCTTCAGACAGCCTGATAGTCTCGCTGACCTCTATTCAGCTTGACTCAAATGCGAGTACATAGACCTGTATGTAGTGAGTAAACTATCTATTTGAATGGAATTGAGTTGACTGATTGTTTTGTCACAAAATACTGTTGAGTATATTTTGTTTAACACCGTACTATTCCTCAGGTTCTTGTGTCATAGTGTATTTTTGACCAAGGTACTCAAGACGAAATTGGTATTGTAGCTTAAAGCTTGTGTATATCAAGTTACATAGCCTTCAGTGACTCAGTTTCATTTATTCCTGCCTCACGTGTTACTTCTCAAGTGTAGCTCGTGTGTTCAGTTTCCCACTGTAGTTAATTTTCATTCTTTTGATACCAGCTATTGCTGTGCTAATTTAAGATGCAAAGGCTTGGACAAGAACACATTTGTGTCTTAAACTTTAAGTTAGTTAGCTGAGTTTTTCGATAAAATTATCATATATTGGATATTCAGTCATTGTGGGTTCCATACGTTCTGTTAATGAAAAATGTTATTTATTGTTCAATATCAGTCTATTTCTTATGCAGTTTGAATCATACAAATTTTCCTAATTTTTTTAGAGCTTGCCCTTTACCTGCCTGTTTACAACGTAACCGTTCTCGACCGAGAATCGAATCATTCAAAGCACTAAATACATCTATTAATCTAGATGGTATTGATGAGAAATCGTCTGTTGATTGTGAAATAAATGAAGTCAATCGGACCATTACAAATAATAATAACAATAATAATGATTGTATTCTCTTATCACCTGTTCATGATTTTGTTGACCTTGCCAAGTATGTAATACCGATAGCAATTTATTTGGGCCCACATATGTCGTATGACTTAATATTAATAGTGAAGTTTTGTCGTCTTGGTCAAATATATCTCTCTGAACAACAAGTGAGTAGCTCAGTCGTCATAATATTCGGATTTGTTTAAGTTTATTGTTTTATTTTATCCAATTTATATATTTTGGAACACTTGTAAATGGTAATCTAGGTGATGAACAATTAATGATTACCCATTTGACGAAAGAAATGTTTAGAGAAAATTAGGAATAAAATTTTATTGCAAATGAAGATTTTCATGCACTTGATTTTGAATCAGACTTTTTGTGTAAAGTCCTAGTGATAACGATCAATCGCCAAAACCAAATTAGATGAAGTATGGGATTTGAACGTGCAACTAATGCTACCAACCATTTTAAGCCAAGTTGACAAAACCAGAGAAACATGATAACTTATGCAGTTACTATGTATGTGTATCTATTTTTATCGATCGCTTATGTCAATTGACGAACTACTGGAATTTGAGACCTTGGAAACCGTGTGTTCATTATTTTATGATATAGCGACGACATTAATAACAATTTTTAGTGAAGCAGAAATCAAATTTAAAGAGACAAATTAAGAAAAAAACCGAGTAGAGCATACTAATATAATAGCCATTTCTATGTCTTTTTCATGCATCGATTTATAGACTTATGCACTTCTTGATGTTGTTTCTAAGTCATTATATTAGTAATAATGGTAGTATTGCAATCACATCACCCTGCAAAAACGATGTTTTCTTTTTCTCCATGTCTACTTATATCCATATAAGTAGTATATGGTGTGGGTCAGACATAGAATGTATTTTCGCAGAAGACCAATGACGAAAGAACAGAAACGAAGCGCAATCGGTAGGAAAATGCACGAACAATGGAATTAGAAAAGAAACAGTGAAGATCGAGACTATTGGTTGTTAATTTGCAAATTGACTGTACATTGTATGGTTTTCAGAATTTATTGAGATAGTCTGTAACTTTTGCTTAAATACATTCGATTGTCCCCAACTAGTGTTCTGTTCACTACATTTGTTGTCGCTGCCAACCAGGAGGAGGAAGGGTGCTGTTCTGCGGACGCCGCTGCGGGTCTGGATTTGAGGTGCTAGTTGTGGCAGTCTTGTGAGGAGAGGTGGCGTCGAGTGGAGTGTTCTGGCGGGGCGGCGTTGGCTGTAGCGGGTGCTGTCGACGGAGAGGAGCAGTGGGACGTGCGGCTGCTGGGCGGACATCGGATGTAGATGGCTCAGCAGGCCGGTGGAGTACGGGTGTTGAACGTCCCAGGTGCCGGGTGGATGCGGATGTTGGTGCCCCGGCAGGTCGACGGAGCTATGGAGGTCAGCGCGCCGCAGACTCGACATTCTGACGGAGAGTTTGGCACAGACTGCAGTGAAAGAAGATAGTGGCATGGCGAGCAGAACCACCGCATGGTCGAATGCTTTAAAGGGGGGACGAGTGTGGTGTGATCTACTTATATCCATATAAGTAGTATATGGTGTGGGTCAGACATAGAATGTATTTTGGCAGAAGACCAATGACGAAAGAACAGAAACGAAGCGCAATCGGTAGGAAAATGCACGAACAATGGAATTAGAAAAGAAACAGTGAAGATCGAGACTATTGGTTGTTAATTTGCAAATTGACTGTACATTGTATGGTTTTCAGAATTTATTGAGATAGTCTGTAACTTTTGCTTAAATACATTCGATTGTCCCCAACTAGTGTTCTGTTCACTACAGTATTGCAATCACATCACCCTGCAAAAACGATGTTTTCTTTTTCTCCATGTATGTCACATAATTCTAGTAAACATATCCTTGAATTAGAAGGGGTTTTTGTGGATATTATAGTAATTTCGATAGTTGAGATCATGAGTCAATTAAAAAAGGAATGAAATGTTATCTATGATGGACTACGGAATTTTGAAATTGAAAAGAAAATATTATGTAACTGCATTGGCACCATTATGAACATTTGTGAGTCATGTCCCCCAAAATCTCCAATTGCTGATTGCGGTTGTTATGTGGGCCCTAACGAGTTAGCCTGCATCTCCGGTCATGTCTCAGACCCACAATCAATTACTTCATGGACTAGTGCGATGTCTTGGTTTAGCCGTCTCTAGCGTTCTTCCAACCTTCTACACTAGCAGACATTGGGATTTTTGTAGGCAGTGGTTAGGCACACGTAACAAGAAACTGGGGTCTATGGTTTCTTGCTAGCCATAATAAACGACTTTACATCTCAAGTTAGTGTTTGTGATGTCAAGTCACTTAGCATATTTATCACACTTCAACTTGGTCGATAAAGTCTTATTGATACTAAAGGACTAGACAACCATGACACTGATCATCCCATTCAGTGACTAATAAGATGTTAATGTGGATTCATTTTTACTCGGTAATTTTCTTTTACAATTGAAGCTAGACCACCATCGAAAACCTGGAAGCACTGGACGGACGTTTCGTCCTACTATGGGACTCCTCAAGAGTGCGCATCGAAATTGATCATTTTAGGCCCACCTACTCTTTCGAATAGCTCTCACACGGCCACGTGTATATAGCCTCTGTCAGAGAAGTCCTACTCACTGCCCTCTCGTGGAGGGGGTGTTGTTTACGAAATCGATAGGACGAAAAGCGGGTTGATGGACACGGTGCGTTCACCTAGGGTAGTTGGAAAACCCTGATTCCAAACCAATGGTGCACATGGACTCCAGTATTGTGATGGAACGAATGGCGTATGAATCAATCGTTGGTCTCTGGCTATCATGGGACTGCATCTCCTCACGATGCTCCACTGCCTTATGGATCAGATCTTTAGGTTAAGGGCTCCTTGTGTGGCCCCCTAAGAAAACCACCTGCTTCAGTTTGGGCACTTGGGTCGTATCATAGTCCTCACACAAATCAAATGAGATTTGTGAGGCGCATGTGTATCTGGTGCTTCCTTGTGCCAATATTTATGTGTTTCAATAATAAATGAAATGATCATTTTAGGATTCTGTCCATTTTTCTTTTTTTATTTTGTAGCAAAACCTTCGGTCTGACAAGATTGGAATTGTTTATCAAGGATTTTTTAATTTACTAGATGAAGTACTACTTCCATCGTTGAGTTTGGTTGATGCTAATTGTTGTTTAGCTGAAGAGATTTGGCAAATGCTACGATTTATGCCTTATGAACATCGGTAAGTTTTGGTTGGTGTTATGAAACTATTTGTCTCATGTTTTCGGTGTTAGGTTAATTATTCGGAAATAAGCTTTGTGAAAAAACTAAGAACACATAGTCATGTCTTATATGTTTGCTTGTAACAGTTGATGGGATATTTAACATTAAAAAATCTGCTCGTGGTGGGATTTTATAAAACGTTTTTGTCCAATTTCTCTATTACTTGCCGTTTATGTTTCCTGACTATTCAGATTTATTAACGTTTCGTCTATAGCATACAGGTGGAAAAGAATTTTGATTCAGGCATAATACTAGGGTTATCTATTTTAATAATAGGTATATTTTTAGAGACAGTGATTTCTTTATTTCAGGGCATTCGATTATCGAATTACAATACTTAGGAACAGTAGTTCTGTACGATGAATGTTGTTAAGTCCTCTAATCGCTTCGAGCAACAATGAAGCCATGTTTGGGATGCATTTCCCTTCTCTAAATTCAAAATTTTTATTCAGGACTAGTATGTGTCAACGCTTAGAGTGATTATAAGGAGTTAAGTAGTTGGGTGTACTAACCACTTTACTTAGCTTGGAAATCTCATCATTCGTGATAAGTTTGTAGCCGATGAGATCTCGTCATGGTAAATAAGTAAGTAAGGTCACCGGACGTTTGATTACTTAGATCAACTGTGTCGTAGACGAGATGTTGGTCTGCCGACCAAAATGGAGTTGCACTACTCAGCAATCCTACACCCTATGCTTTACAATGGCTGTGAGACGTAGTTTGTAAAAGTTGAGGACATTTGTAGTTTACTAGTATTAAATTGTAGGTGTCTTCGAAGTACTGTTTGCGTACGGTGGTGCCACTGATTGAATAATGTTGATGCTTGAGGTAGGATAGTAGGTAAATATGTCTTATTGGTTGATGAATTTCTTTAATCTTCGTGTATAGATTTGTTTTGAACGTGATTTAATTAGACTTAACCGTTACTTTCCTTGAAATGTTATGTGCGGTATAGGATTTTATTTTGAGAGACATCTAATAGAGAGCAAACCGATAAATGGCATCAGTCCATAGAGTCATTAACTGTTGATGCATATCGCGTTGTTATGTGCGGATTATTCAGTAGTGTTGTGGTGCTATTTTACTCGTCAATAATCTTTATGCAGCATTGTGTACCATTTCATTAACTTGAGCTTAAGTATATATTTGCCACTGGGGTATATTTTCATTCAATTTTGAGCTTATGGTGGCCTCATGTAAATGACCTTCGCCAAAGATGGTTTATTGGTTATTACTTAATAACTTTCAGCTTTTTATTTCTTGGTTGATAGGAATTTATTTTTGAGATGTTCAGTCAGTCAGTCAGCTACAACGTAGGACCAGGCACATATATGCATCGGTCCAAGTTGCCATACCTCTTTAGCACAACAAGATGAACACCGGATTCATAGAAGCAATTAATTTAGTGGTGGTAGTATATAAAGAAAGATTGTATAGAAAGATATAGTACAGGAAGGAAGAGAGATATGAAGCAATTTTAATCTCAAGGTTTAAGGGAAGATAAAGAGTGTATACACCTACGCCATTGTGATCGATTCTGAGCCATGTCACCTAGAGTCTCCAACCATTTATTACGATAGTCACGCGGACCCCAACCAGGTAGTCTGCATCTGCCAACATGACTCAGGCTAGAAGTTAGTGACTTCAAACACTGATGCCATGTTTTGGTTTGGCCGCCCCTAACTCTCTTCCAACCGTCCCCAATACTAGTCATCATAGCGCGTCGTGGTAATCGGTGTTCAGGCATACGTAACACATGGCCCAACCATCTCAGTCGATGGAGATTCATCACCTCATCAACTGATTTACCATCGTTCCCTAATACCCTGCGTCTAACCTCACTATTACTTACTCGGTGATCCCAGCAGATGCGAGCAATATTTCTAAGGCATCTGTGGTCAAATACTAGTAACCTACGAGTATCTTCTACTCTTAATGGCCATGTTTCACAGCCGTAAAGTAGGACAGAGCGAACTGATGCGCAGTATACTCGTCCCTTAATTGATAGACGGATATCTCGTCTTCGCCATAGGTGACGTAAGTTGGCAAAAGCCAAACGAGCTTTTTGAATCCGTGCTGAGATTTCGTCAGACACCAACCCATTAGGGTTGATCAGACTTCCAAGATAAGTGAAGTTGTCAACGCGTTCGACTACTTCACTCCCTATCCTTAGTTCGAGTGTTGACGCAGGCCAGTCCTGGAGTAACAATTTACATTTGGATGGGGAGAAACGCATCCCAAACATCCTGGCATTATTACTGAGTTCCAACAGAAGACTCTGCATTTTGCCAGCGTCTTCACCAAACAGGACTATGTCATCTGCGTATTCTAAGTCGCTTAGTGGTCCCCCTGGTAGGAGATCAATTCCTGTAAACTCAGTCGACGAGAGTGTCATTTGCAGCAACAGGTCCATAATGAAGTTAAACAAAAAGGGGGATAGTGGACAGCCTTGACGGACACCACTTGAGGTTGTAAAATCATATGACAGTTCGCCATAAGCTCTCACTCGACTGATAGTGTTCGAGTAAAGAGCCTTCACAAGGTTTATGTACTTCTCAGGTACACCTTTCAATGACAGACACTGCCACAGAACCTCTCGGTCTACAGAGTCAAATGCTCCTTTTAAGTCAAGAAAGACTATCATTGTCGGACGCCGATAAGCATGTCTGTGCTCTAAAACTTGACGAATGGTGAATATGTGGTCGATACAGCCACGACCAGGTCTGAAGCCAGCCTGATTTTCTCGTGTTTGCAGTTCACGAGTCTTAGTTAGGCGCCCGATAATTATTGAGGCTAGTATTTTAGATACTATGTTAGTCAGACTAATCCCTCTATGGTTATCGCAGGATGATTTTGACCCCTTTTTATATATTGGGACAATCAGTGATTGTGACCAGTCGGATGGGATTACATCCGTCTCCCAGATTTTAGCCAGAATATTAGTCAACCTAATCGCTAAAATTGGACCACCATATTTAAAGACCTCTGGAGCCAATCCATCAGGACCAGCTGCTCTTCCTCGTTTCAGATTACCTATAGCCTTTTGAACTTCAAGTAGGGTCGGGGGGCCTACTTCAATGTTCCATTCAGGTTTTCTAGGAATAGTGGGTAGTTGTGCAGTAGCTGAAGGCCAGCTAAACTGCTCCTTAAAGTGTTCCGCCCATCGTTCTAAACGTTTGGGTAGAGAGCAGATAAGGGTTCCATCTTTTTCCGAGATCGTCTCACTTACACTTGACTTCTTAATTCCAGTTTCTTTTATTAGTCTGAATAGTTGCCTGGTGTTGCCTACAGCCGCTGCCTTTTCCATCTCTTTTGCTTTCGTTGCCCACCACTGCTCACGATCGTTCCTTAGACTTTTAGTTAACCTAGATCTAATTTGTTTACGCTCTTCGTCATGTTCAGAGCCTGATGGGATGAGTTTACGCGAATCCATCAGTGAAATAGACCTAGAAGAAATCCACTGGTTTTTTGGAGCCCTATGGTTTAAATGACTAATAGATGTTACTGCTGTCTCCACAGCTGTTCGTATGCCTTTCCAAGCAGCATCTGGGTCAGTCTCGTTTACAGAACTGCCTAGATGTGAACTCAGTTGTCTCTGGAATTCACATTTGGCTTTCTCGTCCTCCAGTTCAATCCTAACGGGTCTTCTTAGTTTACTTTTCCTTCGTCCATTGAGGCGCAGACAAATGCGTGCTCGTACTAAAGCGTGATCAGAGTCTAAACAAGTATTCCAATACGAGCGACAATCTTCTATTGAGCCTCTCCAACGATGACTGATGACAATATGGTCTATTTGAGTCCATCGTTGGTTTGGTGCAGGTGGTCGCCATGTTAGACGATGTCTCTCCTTATGTTTAAAATTAGTGCTTGCCAAAAATAAACGATTGTCTGAGCATAGTTGCAACAGACGATCACCATTATCGGTTCGTTGAGCCGGAATACTAAAACACCCACCTAAATGTCTTTCTGTTTGATTCAAGCTGCCTACCTGGGCATTAAAGTCACCCGCTACGACTACTATGTCTGAGCGCTTAGCTTTCTGAAGAAGCGCAGAGAGCTTTCTGTAAAAGTCATCTTTCACCTCATCATGGCTGCAGTCAGTGGGAGCGTAGGCAGAAACGACGAAGAGGCAACGACGTGTGTCCCTATCCTTCCGAGTTCTTACGGAGCCATTTAGCCGGACAGCACACAGGCGACTGTTAACGGGGATCCATTCTAATAGTGCCTGTTCTGCCCTTGTACTTAATGCTATACCTACACCTGCAAGTCCACGAGAACTAGCCAACGGGTCGCCAGATACACGGAGGGTGTATTTCGTTGGCTGTCCATTTTGGCGAGGTGAGGTCAAGTGAATGACCACACTAGGATCCTGTATGCGTGTTTCGGAGACACAGCATACATCAATGGTACGCGACTCTAAGGTTTTAGCTAAGGAGGCCTGTTGACCGATTTGGCATAGGGTACGTACGTTGAAGGCTCCAATGTGTAGTTTGGAGCGAGGTTTTAGTAGACCTGGGACAGCGTTTCGCGCACTAGAATCGTTGGCCATGGTGACACTTGAGGAGGAAACCGAGAGAGGAAGTTTAGTGTTGAAAGTCAAGGTAGTAGGAATTGAAGAAGGAGATTGATTATGAATACAGTGGTCTTGAGTGTTGTTAGAGGTATGAGGGCAGTTATCACTTCCCGGTTGCCCACACCGTGGAAGGATTCTTCTAGAGGTACCTGAAAAGGAAATTGGGTTAGAAGTGGTCTTAATGACCGGAGAGCGTGACCGCAGTGCCCAAGGGACAACTGCTTGAGGTCGGTCACACACGACCTTTTTGTGGGTAGTTTTTGTGTTAGCTCCGTTCTTCAAAAAAACCTTACTGCCGGAGACGGATATCCGTGGGATAAGGCGAGGTGTGCATTTTTAGGGTCGACCTTTTCTAACCCCACCCCTCCTTGTGGGAAGGCAGCATCGCTGTCATGCTGGTTGTCTGAAGGAAACACCTTACTGCTTTCACACCTCTGTACAGTCAGCAGTACGACTTCGCCTTCGGACCTTGGGTTTGCTGCTTTTAGTCTCACCGCTCTTCAATCGACCTGTCTGGCATGGTAGGACCTCGAGGAACGATTGTTCCAGCCAGCATAGCTCGATTGGATCATCACGATAGGCAAGCCCGACCACCACGTCAAGGTAGCAGCAACGGTCGGGAGATGTTAAACGAAATTTGTCGATCAGGTAAATTTTTCTAACAATGTTTTATCCTCTGAGTAGAATGGTCATATAGTCAATCTTTCGTGATTGTTCTAATCAACATTATTTTGTTGTTAGATCAGTCTCTAATCGCACGAATAAACCTTTTTATCTTCAATTGCCGACTGATTCAGTTTATATTAATCTATCTGTCGTTTGGAAATTGATTCAAATCCTTCGGGGACATTCACTGTGTTAGATTTAAAGCTTTCAACAGCTGACATATACTTCCTGTTGATCATTCAATCACATCATATAGTTATGTAACGACAATTGCATCAAAACTTTGGTTATATCACATGTGTATTCAAACATTACTTTGATTTCCTCATTAATTAAACGCATAGTTTAGAAATCCTTTTCATTCTAATTATTCTAATTTTATTATCCTTACAAAAAAAGATATCGGTTATATGGACAATGGAAACATTTCAACGTGCAATCGGAACCTAGCCTAATACGTCGACGGGCTCAAGTAATATGCTATGCTAAGGCGATTATGAAGTAAATATAATTCATGATCTTGTTTTTCCGTTAGTGTTGTTGTTATTAAATTTTCAGTAGCCCTATCGAGTTTTCTTACTTCACCACCACTTTCCTGATGAGATAATAGTTGCATATGAAACTAAATGTAGCTGTGGTATTTGGTCTATTCACGCTTTTTTGGTAATCATATCATCAAATAAGATTTTTAAAACTCCAGATTTATTTTGAGACTTTCCTACTGATTATATTATGACTTACTATATAATAATCTCTGTATAAGCTGCGACTCAGTAATTTGACGATCTGACTTCCAGTAACTGAGATAATTGTTTGAACTGTGATTCTTCTTCTACTTCATTATGAGCTCTCAAGCACATAGCGTGCCTGAATCGCGTTATTTTCAAGTTAAAAGCTTATATATATATAATTACTGCCTAATCCTGAGTATGTGGGGTTGTATTTTGTGTCAGTAACTGACTTTTACTGCTTAAATAAATGATTATATTTGTTGGTTGAGATATTTGCATGAATTATTTCACTATGTACCTTGTTTTTGTCGCGGACTTTGACATGATTCAGAGTACCACTGATAACTAGATAGCATTGAACAGGAGTTCTTTACCACAGAGAGTGCCTAGTGTTCATAACACAGCAGATCTTTAGTCGATTCGTGATGTAGTAGGGCATTACAGTCCGCCATAGGATCATTAGCTTCCATTGCTCTGGAGATCCACACTAGAATGAAGTTGCCGTCCACTACTTGATTTTCAGAACCACCCCAACTGATGTCAGTTCATGGCAAAAACTATAAATATATATATTTCATTTTTTGGTTTATTTAGACGATTGAGCAAAGAAAATGTTAAACCAATGGGTAGACATCTTGGAAAATTGTCGCATAGCAATCCAGGCTTATTATTTGATCACGTATGTCCTTCGATTGTTTTCATGGGTTTCTCTTTTATTCATATCGTATATGCTTTGGATTCTTCATACATATGGTATGCAAAGAGTAAACTTCGCCTCAAGGATTAAATCAGAGTAACAAGTTTCACAGATTACTATTTAGTACTCTTGGGATTTTCAAAATACTCTTTAACACAACTAATTAATTGTCACAGTGTTTGTAACTAAAAGAATTGGAAGTAATTAGTTTTGTTAATATTGCTAGTCGGTTGGTGATTTCGCTAGTCTCATACAGCAGGTATTGACATAACGTTTTGAAGTTTTTATTATTTTTAAAATTTTCTATTCCCTTTGTTCATATTCAGGACTCCGTTTAACTAGTCTTTCTGTTAGCGCATGCGATAAATGGTTTCAATATTACTTAAATTTTTGATTCATTGTGAATATATTAAACATTTAAAATCACTTTATCATGGATAGGCATTATTTTTATTCATGTAACTTTATTGTTTTTAACGTAAATAATGTTACTAAATCTTTGCTTTTTTAAACTGGCTAGCAGGCTGAGCACTGGTGTCATTATCTTGCAATACTCTAATAACTGTTGATCTTAGCTAGTATCAAGAGTAATAGACTCTTTTTAGTACGATTTAATGGGATAATCATAATACATGCTTAACGACAGTCGATATGACTTAAATAGATCCCAATTCTCTAGATATGTCAATCCTTCATTTCTTCTGAATTTGAAGTTTCTATATTATTGCATACAGTTCGTATTGGTCGATTTCTGAACCGTAGATAAATTAATTTGTAACTACCTGGGTAATGATATTTATGATTTTAGTAGTATAATTATCTTATGAATAGTAAATGTCTCACAATTTTTAAGTTAACTAGTTATTTATGGTCTGTTGAGACCTTATGCATAATAGATTTTAGTGTAGGTATTATAAACGGTGATCCAACTTATTTGCGAATTGAAGGCTTTTGTATTACGGGGACTGCTCCATACTTGTTTCAACAGTCAGTAATACTACCCGGCTGCCTGAACCGAAGTAAGATAAACGAGGTTTGGAACTGGGGACCTGTTGGTTGATAGCTGTATTGATGTATCACTAAACCAGCCCACTTTGACCTGTTATTATATGTGTTTCTAGGTCGTTACATATTTTCATTGTAAATAAATTACAATTACAGAATCCATGCCAATTTACGGGCATGATCATATTGGTACACAAATCAATGTTACATTTAAAGGACAGAAATATGAAATCATTAAAAATAATGTGGTTCATATGTTGTTTTGAGAGCACGTTTGCTACAATGATTAAAATAATGCAAGACAGCTTTTGGGATTTATTCTGAGTGGGGGAACTAGGAGGTCCTGTCGAAGTATGAATAGTGAATTGGTTAGGTGATCCTAGTGCCATTACAAAGTAACATAATCATCTACAGCTACAGAATAGTAAGAAAAACAGCCCAGTACAACAACTATAGTTACTATGATAGATCTATCGTTATCCAAGTGTTAGGTTATTTTATAAACCGATTTGTACCATAGGAGGATAATAATTGGATTAGCGTATAAATGATGGTAATGATTTCGTTTCGCAATATATTGTATAAAGTTATTCCAGAGTCTTGGAAAGTTATTTGCATAGTAACTCATTTAGAGATATTTAGAATGAGGTACTTTCACTTTGGATAAAAAGTTATGAATTCCTTTACTAGGTATTTCTGCATATTGGATCGCAACAGTGGACACAAAAGATAGTTTATTTAGTATTTAAAGAAAACAGACTAGGTTTAGCTTTAGTTCCTGCTTCTATATGGGGGTCAAGTCCAAACTTAATGCAACTGAATTTGTAGTCTCAACCTTAATTACACTACCGTCTATAGCTAGGCCGAAATTGAGAAAAGAATCACCAAATTAAATTCATTTGTGTCTAGCTGTTCTGAGCTCCAAGTTCCATTTTGAGGTCTACACTGATACTGTTTTGCATCGTTTATATAAACTACCTTGTATTACAGCACATGACCGTAGGTGCATCTGACAAAGAGTTTATTTTAACTATTTGATGTCGGTGACTGAAAAATAAATTAATTCAAGAGTTCAACCATATAGGGTGTAAATTATTTTCCGACCAATGTGACTGAATTATTGCCACGCTATATCGCCAATCTACTGAAGTTAGAAATGTAAATCATCTAAATCTTTCATACTCATTTGAGGGGAACAGCTTTGACTGAAGACTTGAAGGTTCTGGGGTTGATCTTTGACAAAGTTATGCATTAGATCTATAAAGGGATAATTCTTTTGAAAGTATACAGAACTATGCCTGAAAAGCAATCGTCTTCCACTTTGATTGACTACAGACTATAAATTTGACCAGTATTTTAGCTATTGAAGCACTTACCACTTTAGTTGACTCCAATTGAATATAATTGTTATTTTAGTTCAGCTGATCCCATTGGAAACCGGTGGTATTGAAGGCTGAATACGGAATATACTGTAAGATAGTTCTGTAAACATTCATATGCTGGCGAACAAACGACTTATGTAAACTAAATAGATGGTGTTTTTGGAGTTGGGCACATAACAACTCAGAATATCAGCCTTTTGATGGGTGGTCTTATGTATAATTCAAGTGTACAACAGATACGATGAGCAGTAAACAGATATACACGCATATGACATTCATGTAGTGAATGTGCACGGATAAAAGTAAATAATTAACAGGGAGAAATATGTGATGTAAAAGATAAACAATAAAATTAAAATGGTTCATCTGACTGTACACTGTTCAAATAGTTGCATGAATAACTTAAGTCACTACCAGCACCCAATTTTCAACTTATTTCCTGTTAACAAACTTCGATTCAGACAGTAATACTTCCGTCTCTGAACTAAGCTCTTTTCTAAAATATGCCTTATATTTGAGGCTTTTTATATCATCAATGAACAATGTTTTTGGTAAATTTATGTATTTTGATGCTGTTTCATCACTTACTGTCATTGCTAAATACTTCATGAACCACAATAAATACTGATCTTTGGATTAAAACATTCAGGAGAAAATAATTTGACATTATCATCAGTAAATGAGTGCAGGTATATTTTAAAGACATTAATTTTCAGTTATGTCAATCCATCCAGCTGCTTGGATTATGGCTGATATTTAGTGTTTTTAAGCTTAACCTAGTTGTTTTTACCCTAACAACTACGTACCTAGATGGAAAATGGTGTACTAGGTGTATGTAATGTGAAAAATATAACATACATGTGGTTTAGATCTTCTGTTCTGTAAACAAGTCTTGTCACTGCCTATGACACGACCAGTTCTGTTTACTGGGAATTAAAAATTCATGTTACACGTCTACCAATTATGCATTTATGTGTTGCTATCAAGTTCCCTAAGTCGAGTTAAATGAGCCTCAGTTTGAGCATAGAACATAGTGGTTGGTAACTAACTTTTCTAACCATTAACCAATCATTGGAAAACTGTATAAATGTATAAGCAAAGATGGATGGTGGCTAGCAGTGTAATCTACTGTTATAGCCACCATCCATCTTTGCTTATGAAGCTTGTGATTTATGGCAATATCGAGGCAATCCGTACACGATGCACATACGCCAATAAGAGACTGATCAATTGCAGTTCTAAACAGCAATGGGGCGATACAAATAAACAATACCAAGTGAATTATAAATGTATGTTTTATTATTTCTGTAAGGTGTCCTGCCATTTCAATTTTACTATTCTTCTCTTTCACTCTCTCTCTTTCCAATTTCGTCTTATTTACAGGTCCTTCATACAGTTCAACTCTTTACAAATCTTATCAATCCTGTTGTTGAAGCATTGAAATATGTTAGCAGTTTAGGGTATGATATGCTAACGTGTAAGTTAATAAACCCTACTATTCTCTAATTATTATTATTATCTCAATTTATTTTCCTTGATTGCGTTAAGTTACATTTGTTGGTTTTAAATGAAGCCCTAATTTGTGTCAGTGGAAATAAAAAAAGTGGGTTTGGTTAAATATGTTTGTGAGTGAGTGGGTAGGTAGAAGAAAGTTTAATGTAATCAAGATCATGCGCATACATAAATTGTTTTTGGCTAAGTTTTTTGAATGGCATTCTGTGTCTCTCACTGATTAATTTTGATTCACAATAATATATATATATACATCAACCAGCTTGTCCTGCCCCCCATGGCCGGTGACGACTGATCCACCAAACGAGGCGGAAGTCCGCAAGGAACTCCAACTCTTGAAGCGCTACAAATCACCTGGCCCAGATGACTTACCTCCGGCTCTTTTTAAAGATGGTGGCGACTTTCTGACTAAGGAATTGACTGTGTTGTTTGGAAAGGTTTGGGAGCAAGAAAGTGTTCCAACATCATGGAATGAGTCAATAGTCGTCCCTATCTTTAAAAAGGGTTCGCGTTGTTCCTGCAATAACTATCGGGGGATAAGTCTACTTCCGATTGCGTCCAAGCTATTGGCTTCTATCATTCTTCGTAGGTTGTTTAAAACCCGAGAACGATTGACTCGCGAGGAGCAGGCTGGTTTTCGTTCTGGTCGAGGATGCATTGATCACATCTTCACCCTCCGCCAAATGTTAGAACACCGTCATACTTATCGCAGGCCAACAATCGTAGTGTTTCTTGATATCAGGGCGGCCTTCGATTCGTTGGACAGGACTGTTCTCTGGGATTGTCTATTGAAGAAGGGTGTGCCTGAGAAGTTCATTAACATCTTAAAGGCCCTGTACACGAACACCTCAGGCAGAGTGAGGGCATACAACCACCTTTCTCCCTTGTTCCATTCGAGCAGTGGGGTTAGGCAGGGTTGCCCGATCTCACCATTCCTCTTCAACTTTGCCATCGACGACATCTTGGAAACAGCTCTGATGGATGTAAGTAATGGCGGTGTGGATATGTTGCCTGGAGAACGACTTCTCGACCTTGAGTATGCGGATGATATTGTCTTACTGTGCGATAATGCCCAAGGCATGCAATCAGCACTTAATCAGTTGGCAATCAGTGTCCGCAGGTACGGTATGTGCTTTGCACCCTCCAAGTGCAAAGTACTTCTACAAGACTGGCAGGATTCTCATCCTGTACTCACCCTGGATGGTGAGCAGATTGAAGTAGTTGAGAAGTTCGTGTATCTAGGTAGCTATATAAGTGCTGGTGGTGGCGTGAGTGATGAGGTTGATGCACGTATAGCGAAAGCCAGAGAAGCTTATGCCAATCTGGGCCATCTTTGGCGCCTTCGTGATGGTAGTCTGGCTGTAAAAAGTCGGATTTACAACGCGTCGGTTAGAGCAGTTTTGCTCTATGCTTGTGAAACCTGGCCTCTCCAAGTTGAGGATGTTAGACGTCTCTCTGTGTTCAATCATCGTTGTCTCCGAAGGATTGCTGACATACAGTGGCAACACCATGTTAGTAATGCAGAGGTTCGGCATCGTGTGTTCGGGCACAGAGACGATAATTCAATTGGTGTCACCATCTTGAAACACGGACTTCGGTGGCTTGGACATGTTTTACGAATGTCGTCCCAGAGACTTCCACGTCGTGCATTATTTGCCGTCCCTGGGACTGGTTGGAAAAAGCGGAGAGGAGGTCAGTGTATGACATGGTGTCGTGGTATGAAAGAGAGCTGCAAAGGGCTAGCTTCTGTTGGTCCTTCACGACTCCTTGGTTGGGGTCCGAGAGATGGTGCAACACAGTGGCTAGAGACGTTATCAGATATGGCTCAGAATAGAAACCAGTGGCGATCCTGCTGCAACCTTCTTTTACTTTCTACATAAAGTATGGTTCTTACTTTCCTATTTGAAAGAGTCTTCTGGTTGTACATTTCAGTCCGCCTTATCTTTTCATCCCTTCTCTTCCTACTTTCATTATATATATATATATATATATATATATATACCACAAATTGATGTTGATTGAAGTAATTTTGACATGGAGGTATGTGTGAGATAATTGTTTTAGGATACCCAAGCAATGCCCATCCTCGATCTTATGCGCGATTTATCAGTTCTCTCAGTGATCATGGTTCCTCCAAACTATGGCGTCGGAATTTCATTTTCCTCACTTTTTATCGTTTTTAATGTAACCTAAACTCGTCAGTAGTATGCCTATCATGAATGTGTCTGTGTGGGTTTGAATATGCACATTAATTTAATAGTCTAATGTCCACATAAATGTTATTAATCCTTTCATATATTTGTTCATAACTAACCACTGCTGAGACGTCGAAACTAAGAAGTAGTCATTCGTTGATTCTGACAAGGTGAAGTCCTCTAACCGCTTCGAGCAACAATGAAGCCATGTTTGGGATACATTTTCCTCCCTCTAAATGCAAAATTTTTATTCAGGACTAGTATGTGTCAACGCTTAGAGTGATTATAAGGAGTTAAGTAGTTGGGTGTACTAACCACTTTACTTAGCTTGGAAATCTCATCATTCGTGATAAGTTTGTAGCCGATGAGATCTCGTCATGGTAAATAAGTAAGTAAGGTCACCGGACGTTTGATTACTTAGATCAACTGTGTCGTAGACGAGATGTTGCTCTGCCAAATTAGTCACCTTAAATTCTCTTTAAAAACAAATTATCACAATACAGTTTTGCTTATTTTTGTGGGGGTGAACAAATGTAAGCACTTATTTGACTGAGCTAAAGTCGTGACCTTACAGAGTAGCACTGCAGAGAATATAAGTGTTTTTGTAAAAGCTTAACAATCTCATATATCAGTATTGAAAATGCACTCTTTATATGACCCATTCTATCAGTTATTGAAGATGTTTTGCAAGGAAATGGACTATCAGTATGCAGATAACACAATTACTTCTAAAAACTATTCTTATTTCATTTCGAGAAAATAAGTTCCTAGGCGTAATGAAAAATTACTTTCTTCATGCTTAGCAATTCGAGTATTACTCATGTTGATTTGACAATGCATTTCCCTCAATGAATCTGTCATGGAGTCTTTGGATTATATCCATTGATGTTAATTTATTGTTATTGTTTTTGTTGTTGACAAAATATGTAGTCAGTTTTTTGGTTCGAAATAAATGCAAACATTTCTTGATGTAATGTGATAGATGGATAATTCATATTTATATTTGCATTATGTTGTATAGGCCTACAATAGCACATACTCATTATTTTATCCGATAAATATTAAGCTTCAACTTTCATACAGATAACTAAAATCAACATATTTTTTCTAAATCAGAAGGGGTTTTTGTGGATATTTCAGTATTTTCATAGTTGAAATCATGAGTCGATTGACCATCCAGTGCTTCCAGGTTTTTCCATGGTGGTCTAGCTTCAATTGACTCATGATTTCAACTATAAAAATATTTTTCTAAGTTAATCATTCTATTAAGACTTCAGTTGTATACTACTGTATGTGACCAACTGTTTGAAATGCAGTTCAATTCTTTTTATAATACGAAACTTAGACAGTCCATCTCAATGAAACGTTCGAATTTTTTAATGACAGACACGTTGTTTTAACCAAACTTTCGTTTCAAATTTTTTGTACATTTCTATGTGTGTATATATATGGATTGTTTTTTACTTTCTGGCTGTTTGTTCTTATGTTCACAGTTTGTATTATTGAAGCACTTGCCACAGATCAATCGAAGCTGGAAGATTTGCAATTGAGTCAAGGTTTACAAGGTACGCTGATTTTTTACTGTATCCCTATCAATATATGTACATGTTTATACTTTCGTTATTATTCGTACTTTATACCTTGTCGTCAAATGACAGAAACAGCGAATGTGTACCAATTAATCTTACAGGAATCCTTTCGCAATCAATCAACTATGTTATTTAATTTCAACATTTCTTATGCAACGGTTTTTGTTTGAGAGGAATAATTCTTTAAAGTCATTTCTTACAGTTGTAAAGAAGTACGAGATGTTTTAATGCCTTTATTTAACATTAGTTATAAATGGTCGCATCAAGAAATAATCGAGAAATATTCGATCGCTTCTCCAGTTTCATATGTATGGTAATATCGTCAATCAATCACAGATAATTTTTTACGAAACATTTTAGTATTGATTGTTTTACCCCTTCTCCCATTCTTATTTTTATTTTCATAATTAATCAGCGTTGTCGTTGTTTACTGGATTGTTGTGCAGAAAGTATCAATTCGATTTGGCTGGTTTGTTACAATATGTACTGAACCAATTGAAAGTTGGTAAAAGGTAAGTCATTAGTATATGCATCGGTGTGTTTAATTTTCTGGCTGAACTTCGGATGATCACGTATGACAACGACTGATTATTTCCAGACTGACCAGTTGTAATCGTTCATTTTTGTTTTCTTTTTTAGTAAATTAAAACAACTGTTCGTCAAGGAGTGATAGGTTCAACGCACTTAGAATCTGAAAATTATTATTTCGTTGGTGTGTTAATGTCATTGAACCAAATATTCACTTACAAAAAACCATGTATATAATAGCGACGAACATTTCTACCCAGTACATTGCCTAAGTCACTTACACGCTAAACTATTTACAACTGATTCTTAAATTAGGAGCCTTCTCCGCGTTTTAAATTTGGAATATTTACACAATTTGACTAGGCGTACGAGGAGGATCTTGAGTATATCGTATCCGAAGTCCTGGACTAAACCTAAGTAGCTGTCTTAGTAGTCTTTATTTTTTATTGGTTCTTCAGCTGCTTTCAATTGATGGCTAGCAGTGCGGTATAGAACATATATTTCATACTACTTGGGACTTGTCAGCATAATCTAGTTTCATCTCAGTGTTGATGTTCACATTTAAATTCAATCCTGATCCATTTCACTACAACTATTATCAAATTATTTTTTAAAGATTCCATATGATACCAGAGACTTATGAAATGTTGTCGCGAATATATATATATATATATATATATATATATATATATATATATATATAGCCACCCACTCACATACGTGCGCTTTATATAAATTTAAATTTCTTTCTCCGTATATTCATCTTATGCTTTAATGACAATGATAAGTATATTTATCATTTTTACCAAAGGAATGAATTACTAACCTCCATATAGATGCTTTCGCGTTTGAGTGGTTGTAATACTCGTTTTTGTTTGTTTGATGATATCAGTGTAACGTTGACTAAAATCACTTTTATAAATAATTAGCGGTTTGTTGATTTGATACTGTTGTTTTTCCCTAGCGATCCTATTGAATAAGTTAATTTTTTGTTTTCTTGAGAGACAGGGTGAGAAGATCAACATCATAATTGTATATAACTTCGATTGTTGTAGTGAAGAGATTGAATTATTGAATATCAAATTGTTGATAGGAGTTATAATGCTATTATCATTCGACTAAGCAATGAGTAAACTGATATTTTATCTATATAGTCGACTGATGAATTATCAGTCAAGTGACTGGAGATTAACTAAGTATGAGTTACAGTTATTATCTAGATGCAACCAAAGACAGGCTGAAGAATATATGACTAGTCAAGGATTTATTTATCGAGTACTGGTCCATTTACTAGGTAGTCAACTACTCTGTTTTTGTGTGATGGCTACTCATTCAGATACAACTGAGTTTGGTTAAAAAAGTTTGTACCTGAGAATCAATTAAATGAAGGTTATCAAACTGCACTTTATATTTTACTTCTCTTATTCATATCAAGCTGTATTATCAAGCTGTATTATCAATCTCATCTAGAGTTATCGAAGTAAATTAACACAGTTGACCATTAAGACTGGCCATTAGCGAGATACATTTTGTGACTTATCAGTCAGAGTTAATGGATTTCTTAAATGTTAACGTTTCCTTTTTGGGATTAAAAACTGTCAACTTTAATCAATTTTTGTTATAAATCAGCGGAAGTTGGCACTCGAATCTCAATTACTAGATCACAGTTTGAAAACCCCCTCACCACTTACTTCAGTTTTGGCAGTTATGCAGCCTAACTCGCAGACATATACAAAAGTTTGACAGATAGCTGAACACATGAACCTGTACATGGTCACTGATTTGTGTCAAATTACAAGTGATTGGGTTACTTGCTTTTCACAGAATGTAGGGGCCTAGGAAGTTTTTTTATATCTACGAAGTCGGATATTTTACAGTGTTTTTGCTCTTGTTCTCCTAGAGATAACGTAAGCATTTCCACAATCCTCTTAGTCTGAGTAATGCAATTGCTGAACAATCAACTATGCACCAATTAGAACTGGAGAGCAACTGTGCTTCGATCAAAGTCGTGATGAGTTGAAATAATCTATATCGTATGCTAGAGTCACGAATCCGAACCCAATCATAATTTTTTTACCGCGTCCCGGCTCAGAATACATCACAATGGCGAAGGTGTATACACTCTTTGTCTTCCCTTAAACCGTGAGACTAAAATTGCTTCATAATCTGTCTTTCTTCCTGTACTATATCTTTATATACTATCTTTCTTTTATATATTACCACCACTAAATTCATTACTTCATCTTGTTGTGCTAATGAGGTATGGCAACTTGGACCGATGCATATATGTGCCTGGTCCTATGTTATAGCTGACTGACTGACTGAGTTGCCCAGCTATACGTTCTAATTTAATAGGTTGGCCATTAGCTGACACAAGCTACAATCTTATTGGTCCTCTAATCGGAAGCTTCATAAATATTACTAAAAATCAGTCCGAAATCATCAGCCATATTCTACTACATGTATTTACAAACACGTGAATTTGTTTATGAACATACAAGACCACATCACTAACCACCAGTTATGATAATCACGCGGACTACAACCAGGTAATCGAAACCTAATGACATGACTCAGTCCAGTTATCAATTACCCCAAGGATTGGTGCCACATTTGGTTTGGCCACCACGAGCTTTCAGTATACTCCCACTGAAGACAATATCTCCCGTCGAGGGAGTCGGTGGTTGAGCATGCGCACTACATGTCCTAAACACCTCATTTGATGAAGATTTACTACCTTATGAATCGATTTTCCATCTTTAACTAGTACCCTATTACTACCTTTGTCATTGTTAACTAATGATCTCGAAATTCACGAGCGGTGCTTCGAAGACAGCTTTGATCAAATCCTGTACAAGGTTGATTTACTCTGATAATCTTTTCAATGATGGACACTGCTGCGGAACGTAAGATAAACAGAGTCGAACGCTGCCTTAAGTTCAGGGGATACAGCTATAGTCGGACATCGGAAAGTATGTCTATGTCCGAGAAGCTGCTGAAGGGTTAATATTTGGTGTGTACATCTACGTTCAGGTCTGAATCCAACCTGGCATTCTCGGATTCGCTCTTTATGAGCTCTAGTTAGACGTCAAAGAATTATGGACACTAATATTTTAGACACTATTAGTTAAACTGATTCCTCTATGATCGTCCAAAGAGGGGTTTTGTTCTTTCTAATAGGTTTAGATCATCAGCGATCGGGACCAGTCAGATGGAAATACGTTCAGTTCCCATATTCTAGTTGAGATCTCATTCAATCTACCTGCTATAACTGGATCAAAACCTTCAAAAATCTCAAGGAGTTAGTGAATCCGGCTTATAGCCTTGCTTATAGCCTTTCCAACCCCACCAAGAGTCTGAAGGATTTACGTCAATTCACCATTCAGGTTGTGATATATCTGAAGCGTTACGAATTCACTATTAGCGAACGCAACCAAGACACGTGACCAGAGACCGATAACTAGCTATTCTGACTCGACCCAGCTAACTAGAGTAAGAAGTCCAAGTTGGAGCGGGGAAGTTATATTCCGTAGCAGCCAGAAACACAGCAATCAAATAAGGGAAAAAAAGTCAAGCGCATTTATACAGCAACAAATTGTCCTTGAGCGTCATTAGTAAATAGCACACACAAAGAAACAATGGACCAATAGCGTTTAAGATAGTTTACAAGTGGGAGATATGATGTGAAGGTAAAAAGAGCGCGTTTGGCGCGAAAACAACTAAATTCAAATTTTCAAAATAAAATTACAAAATTGAGCCATTTACCAAGTAAGTTCTGGGGATTTGATATCCCCAACAGGTTGTGATGTGAACAGAGAAATAAAGAAGCCATGAAAAACAATGGGAATTATTTTTGGGAACATTATTTCACTTAATTCAATGTTTGTGAATTACTAACATTTAGTTTTCTTCCTAGTTTATTCCATAAACCATAATTTTCCCTTTGATGCATGATTCCCTGCCATACCCTTTTCTATTCCATAGTTATTGTACCTTTTTTAACTGCTCACCATGACAAAGAAGATCCACCACTATGTGTCAAGCTTGCAAATATAGTCAGAATCATGTGCATCTTCATGACTGTAATAGATTTTCGACCTTGTTACCTAATATTTTAAATCTTTGATAACAAGGATTTCTGGATTCATTTAAAAATGTTTGATTACAATAAATAGTTTTAAGAATAAAATATTTACTGTTGCAGTAAATTCCACTTTGTTGTGCAAAAATTTAGGAAATCCATCTATATATTTATCTATCTATCACAACAGGGGGTAATTCAGCTTATCAGCTTATTTTTACTATACAATTTCTATTGTTATTTCCTCTCCTATTACTTCATTGTGCGGACACTCAGACACATTTACGAACCGCCGTGGTGGTTTAATTTATATTATACGGTAGTTTCTCCATGATAATTTGCCTCCCCCTCCTATGAAACTATTTTAGAGCATTATCCAGTTAATATATATAATTATTCAGCTAAATCAATTATTAAGCAGGAAGATGTCTTGCAATATTTCCACATTTCGGTAACAAGTGAATTGTAGGTTTGGACAGAAGACTACGAACCCTGAGTCCATAAATTATAGTCTCGCCAAATTTTCTTATTTTGCAAAACTTTATGCAGTTATCTTTCGCGCACATTTTAGTAAATAGTGCCTACAGTTAACGATTGTAAATAATATCTTACAAATAAATGATAGTTGTTTATATTTGTGCACTTTCAGTATAAAATTACTTTGTTTTTTGTTTGTTCCTCTCACCATTTTGAATAAAACGTCATTATAGTTATGATTTGGCAATATTACGTGAAATTCTCCATCGTATGTCTGGTATCGATATATCGGAAGAAATGACCGAAGAACAGTTAGAATCTATGTCAGGTGGTGAATTACTATTACAAGAAGGTGGTTATTATGCACAGATACGTAACACACGTCGTAATGCTGGACGTCTTAAAGATGCCTTGGTTGAACATAACTTGATTATGCCATTTATTTTTTTAATGGCTCAACAGCGTGACGCTGTTATATTTCTAGATGATCCAGAACGTCACTGTAAATTAGCTGGGCGTCTATATGATCAGGTTAGTTGAATTTCACAAAGTTCCACACCGTTTCGTACACTACAGAAAGGTCAGTGCTTCTCTATTAGAATCAACACCAAACTAATCGATCCCAAAACAGCTCTTCTCAGAATTACCATCGTCTTCAAGTTCAGCTGTGTTATTTTATATGAGCACCCTCTAAACTAAATTTACTAAACTTCAAGGTTGAAAAATTTAAGATGACTAGCTTTTTCTACAAAGTATGTATTGCGGTAATGTTTTGTAGCAATTCTGAATAAAACTAGTCAGCTGATGTTCCCAGACACCTGATTTCTGCATCAATAACCGGGTGCCAGAATTATGGTCTATTAATATTGTCACGGAAACTTTCTGTACTTCCTCTTGAATACTCAATTTCTATTGTATCTCTAATTATATTTGCCCTTTTTTTGAATAATTATCTCTTTTATTTTAATTATTTCTACTTCAGTGTCAAGGTACACTTGTACAATTCATAACATTTCTTAGTCTTCAATTAACTCGTGATGAAATGCAAACACAGTGCTTAAATATTGACAGAATGATGGGTGAATTTCATGTTCCAGCTGATACGGCTTTTTGTTTTCATCGTAATCTGTTTGAACAAAAAGTTGCTGTAGGTTATTTTTATTTCGATTGTTTACTTTGTTGTTGTCACAATTTGCTCGTTGTACAAAAGTTTAATTGATTAGTTTTTGAATTCTAAAAATCGACAACTTTAATTTTGGTTTAACTCCAAATGTCGATTGCTATTTAATATTCTGATAAATATTATCTTAGCGTTCGATATTATTTTTGTTACTTGATTTAATAGACGAAGTCAATGACTAATGACCAAAACATTTTGAAGTTCGAAATTTCACTTGTTGTCTTTAAAATAGAACGAACCAGATTTATATGATAGATGAAATATTGATCTGGCAACATCCTCAGGCGAATAATTGGCAGATGTACTGTACATCGATAGTGATTGTTGTAAAGTACTTATTTATCAACCTGTCGTACTTGAAAAAACTAACATAACTAACATAACATAACTGATCACAACACGAGTGTAACTCACAAACGAAGTATAAAATTGCGTACTCATCATTCGATATGTAGGCTACTAACCCCTACCTTGTTTATTCAAACCAAATTAGATGATGTGTTTTTTCATCTTCAGTATTTTGTAGTGTAAGAGGTGCATGTGTGCAGTTGACATTTCTTAGTATTCTTGGGTGACCTAAAATGCAAAATATGTTAGGTGTGATTTTCAAGACCTGGGAACATGACACATAGGGTTTAAGGAACAACTGCTTAAGGCTAGTCAGACACGGCATTCCTGTGAGTAGTTTTTTTATGTTTCAGATTCGTGATTTCCGTACTTCATCTGTAGTGACAAAAATTCGGTAGTCAAGGTAAGGTGTGTTTCTATGTTTCTCTTCGAAAAATATGTCAGAAACTTCTGTGCCCTAGCGACCATGGACGTCTGATCACTGATTTGATGTATTTATTGATGAAGAAAAATGCCAGAAATTCTTATTTGGTTGATATTTTCTTATGTAATTTCAGCTCATATTGCCACAAATTTTCATATGCTAGACATTCTTTACTGATCTAAGTTGTAGTACTTTTAAATAACATACTTTTCCAACCACAATTATTTTGTAAATTCATCTGATGCCGGTCGTTAGTGAGCACATCATTCATGTTTTTTGTGTATATTAATTCGAGTTTAATTTTGTTCGTATCACAAATCGATATCAAACGGGCAACTATCGAACACCGGGAAGCACTGAACAGCCGTTTTGTCTGTAATGTAACCCTTCAGTAATCCCTACGCATCAACCACTTAGATTTCAAACCTAAAACCTTTACATAATATGGTAAGCCCTTAACCTTTACTGCACCTAGTTGACATTCATTGGTTTGCATTTCTAGCTTCAATCAGTGTTTGTCAGGTAACTTACTAGTATGAATATTATCCTTAGTTGATAAAATGATATATCCAGTCATATAACTTAATGAGTAAAACGTATTTGCCATAAATTATTTTCAGCGTTTATTTGAAAGCAAAGAACAAGCAGAAATTATGAAATCTAGTGAAAAATCAAAGTCATTCAGCAAGGTCAGTGATCAGCCTTTTTTCAATACTTTACGTTAGACTAGTTTCTTTTTTATGTGATCCACAGCTTGTGCACTAGTTCAGATAATTCTCTTTGAATATTCGGAATGAAATATTGCTAATTTTGTTAAACGCGCATAATTTTGCCGAAGATCGTAGAATCCAAATTCGCCTGTTGTTAGTCATTGGATAAACAAATTTCTATTAAAATTCATGAAGCATTTGATGATCTGACTTACCTAGTATAATCTTTCAATGCCATCTGATAATTAATACCTGTTATTTGTTTTGAACTACTTCAGCTTATCTTTGGAAATTAGTCTTTCTGAGATCGTTGACTACTGATCGTTGAAGAGTTGTACAATTTCCAATCATTTACACCAAATAATTGAATCAATGAAACTAGTAATTTTATTGTTTGAAGCTTTTTAGAGTATTTGTAGCTTATTCTCAATCATGTGTAGCAGCATATTCATACAATATTATAATTCTAGGTCCTTTTTCAAGACCTTGAACAAATCGTGTAAAGCCATTCAAGGACGAACAGGTTGAGTCATTTCCTAGTATCTGTTTGCTGAATGATGGATACATCGAAAGTTCCCGAAATGAATATCTAGTAGTACGTAATCATACTTATACTCGACCTTATCAAACATCAGACAATGTTAATTAATTTTTATCAGGATAGTACGCAAGCGTTTGAGACACATTCTTTTTTGTATAAGGACTAATGATATTACTCAGCAAACCACCCCGGATGAGGTGGAGTAAGGCGTCGAACCTGCAAATTTATGGTTGGAAGGTGAGTTCTTTTCTGTATAAGTATATCGCTCCAGTAGACTGACACACTACTGATTAGCTAAAAGTTTTCTAAGGTTAGATTATACACAGAAAATGAGGGTAACGGTTAGGGTTACATATTTGATCTTACGATTTGGAAAGCTTCCATAAAAAAGGTAAATTTGGTAATAAATCTTATCGCTCCCTAGTCAGTTTTGAAAATACAGTTGTTTTGTAAATTTCTCTTAGAAGTTCCAAAATATTTCCAATTATGTTTTTGTCACTAATTTTTTCGAGAAATTATAACTGACTGTCAATATACTTCACAGTTTTATGTTGGGATTTCTTTTCTTATTATTTAAACGCTGATATCTTTCATCTACTGAAGCCTCATTTCGTCCAGTAGTTTAATTATCTATGATGTATGTTATTTAAAAAAAATCATAATGTGTATAATAATGTCTCCCAGAATCTACCAGTTCAAAGGTTTTTTAACTCACTTGTTCAATTTAATTGCCAGCGTTTATCAAGTGTGTTTATTCATCTTTTTTTTAATATCCCTTAATATTGATAATCATTTGTTTTCATCATCATTATTATTTCTTTTTTGTAAAATTGTAGACAGTTTTCTCGGCTGCTTCTTTACATGTTTGCAATGAAATAGCTGCAGCTATACGTCCATTATATCCAGCTCGTGTATGGGATGAATTAGGCATTGTGTTTTTTATCACCTTTTGGAGTTTACAATCAAGTGATTTAGTTGTTCCCGAATCAGCTTATCAGCGCCAAATACAACAACTGAAAGAGCAGATTCAGCAAATTGATACATCGGCTAGTGGATGGGTAAATGCATTCATGATGTAAACTCCTAGTTGTATATATATATATTCTTGTTTTTTCTCCCTCTTAATAAATGTCCATTTCGATGGAGATTTTTTGGCTAGAAGCTGGTACTCGTTACAAATTGGGCTCAATTGGAGTACTGTTGAAAAAGTTGGAGTTGTGGGACCTCACAACATGGGCAGTCACTAGACATGTAGATTAACAATCAATCTCGTACACTTCCAACTTGGATCATCGGGTCACAAAGTTTGACGACCGTCTAATGTCATGGGTAAAGACTGTTCTATTACCGACATGTTAAGATACAATTTCTACAGTTTAGAACCGAAATCCATCATTTTTTTGGTGATCATGAAAGCATCGAAGTTTCCAGTACTCTGCTTTTCAAAGATACTTTGAAATAGGTCACTCTGTGAAATTTCACTAACGAACATTCACTTTGTCAGATTTACCTTAAATAATGTTATGTTTTCGTTATTATTTACCATGAGTTACTCGCTGTAACCTGGAATACCAAGAAAAATGTTAAAGAGAAGTGGGTTGGTTAGTTTTTTAAAAGATGAAATAAGTTTCTTTGTTCTGTTATCTCAAAAACTGAATTACATTTTAGTCGTGTTTCCTAATTTTCTGTCCTTTCAAATAATAAGTGATAAGCTATATACTTTTTATCAACAAAGTCGGCAAAGAACTTGTAACTACATTGTTATGTTGCCCTCTGTTCTTACCAGAGGTTTTGTGTAGTGAGATAGGGAATTTCCGCGACATCAGACACTAGAATTAAAATCAGTTTAGTTCAAATCATGTTGCTAACTTTATTAATTTATTGAGTACAAAGTTGTGTACTCAATTTCGGCTACTTATTTTCTTGTGTATGTGACAGTTGATGATGCTACACAGCTTTTGAAGCCTTGGTAAGCGGGCTGGGGTTCGGAGTTACAAAGCTGAATACCATAACGGATAGTTTACCGTTTGTGACATAATGGTTTCAAATTATCACTGAAGGTCTCTTAGTTTTCATGTATATTTAATATTCAATACAAAATTAAACAAAACTTCATTCAGTATTGTTTGTTTGAATCTTCCCATCGATTTGTTAGGACTGCAACTGGTCAGTCTCTAATTGGCATATGTACATACTGTGCGTAATGCCTCGATATAGCCTTAATTCACATGCATTAAGTGGTTAGGTTTATTTTTGATCTAGGAAAAATTACGGTAAATATGTTCAAAATGTGTACTATAATTCATAAATGACTGTCTAGTTGAACAATGTTACTTATTAAAATTCTATATGAGTTAAATAAATCAAATAAAAATATTCTAATCTCATTGACTTAGATTAAAACATATTACATGGACACTTGAATAGCTAAAATTTTCTTATGATATTTCTGGTTGTTTTTAGTTGACTCCCAGTTATTTTCGCCTGTTTTACGTTATCTTACCTATTAAATTACGGTCACTGATATTTGCATTTTTTTTGTATTCTCTTACACACCTCCCATACACCAGTTGTTGATGATCATATTAATAATCGGTTATTGTTTAGCTAAAATGTTCGTTTGTAGTAAATGAATAGGTCTTTCTGGACAATCAAGCTGTCTGTCGAATAAACGAATATATGTATATTTTTCTCTGTATTTCTAACTGAATCAGTGATTAGTTGGAAGGACCTTTCATTGTTCCTAATAATTATCCCATTGATAGGTACAGTTTAAACATATAGTTGGAATTAGTTAAACCAGTGGTTTTGTGTTTTAGCTAAAAAGCAATAAAATAAATGTTTTCTCGTTTTAAATGTTAAACGTATAAGTATGTGTTTGTTTAATCTGTTCTAGCAACGTGGTCATACTAATTAGTATCTACTTTTACTGTCTATTTAACTATACATTACTCCAACATCATAGTAACATCTCATAGATTTATTTTCTGTAAAAGTCTTGACTTCGGTTTTAGCATTTTGCCTAGTACATATTTATTTAGTAACAGGATCCTTTTTTCGAATTTCCTCTTTCTATCTACATCAAATACTCACGTAAACTTAGAATTCAACAAAAAAGAAACGTGAAATAGAACGTTTGGAAAATTTAATTGAACGTCTAACCAATGAACAAGCTGAACGGGAAGAACATGTAGCACGTGTACGTGCTTGGCTTATGACTGAACGTGATAATTGGTTTCAAACACGATTAGCTACAAAAACTGATACTATTACACAATTCTTACAATTATGTATATATCCTAGAGTGTGTTTCACCGCAACTGATGCTATATATGCGGCACAATTTATGCATGTTTTGCATCAATTAAAAACTGCACGATTCTCTACATTGATTTGTTTGGATCGAGTAAGTACTTTTGTAAAAATATATTATAGGTTAAATATTCGTTTTTTTAAAAACCTACTTTATGTATTTTCTAAAGTTGCTTTTCAATAAAATCATCCACGAAATCTTGTTGAAATCAATTAATATTCTTTATTAAGTCGGCTGAAATGTCAACGACTTGCTCAAACGTTTAGTCTACCTGTTTTTCACCTGAGTCAATGTCAAAACTAACTTTTTAACAGATTCGTGTCAACTTCTTATTTGCATGTACACACAGACACTACCATGAAAAGCGTACAAGTTATTGCCGAATAACTGAAGTAAAAATATCGTAGTTATAAGCATATTTTCCTTCCTGTCTAATCTTTGGATATAATGAGAAACGAATATACTAGAATTCACGCAACATATGTACGATGGGTATAAAAAATCAGTTGCAGTAAGTAGGTTGTTAGGAAACCTTAAACAAGGATGGTGGTAAATATTAGCTGTTGAAAACGTCCATGGAAAAAAACGGAAAACAGAAATTTCGTTCTGCAATTCATTGATTGAAAGGTGAAGGCTTTTATCATTAAGTCCACCTTTCCATATCCATATAAACGGTCCCAATTTTATTGGGTACAGACACGCTTAGTGTAAACTAAACTTAAATCAAGAATTCATAACGATTTATTTCAACCACTGCATATTTTCTCACTGCTATAAAGTAATCTGAGAATATGATTGAATAAGCATTCGCTGTAGATTTGGTTTTCAAATATTATATATTTTTTGATAATAACTCAACAATCTCTATAACTCTGTACCGATAATTCTAATTTAAATATTACCCCTAGGAAGTTCGAACAAGTTTGTTGAACGAAAGTTGGAATTATTTAAATTTTAATCCCTGAAATTATTTGAAGTATTATTTTCACAGACAATATCTTCTTTATATTTGGAGCCCAATTTCTGTCAAACTATTCTCTCAAACATTGAGGAATATTTGTCAGTCAGTCACAAAATAGAACTTAGTACGTACGTACGTACATCAGTTCGAGTTGCCATACCACATTAGCACAGAGTTGCAGTTGTCGATTCAAATCCCATAGTGGTAGAAGTAGTGAGAGTATAAGCATTATCTGAAAGATTAGGGTTTGAAGAAGTTATTGAAGGAGTAATATCCAACGGAATAGGTTTGGAAACAGAAAAAAAGATAGAGATATGAAGAATTCAGAAGATTAGAATTTGGTAGAACACAAAGAGTGGATGCACCTGCACCACTGCGAACGATTTTGAGCCATGTCATTCAAGGTCACTAACCATCGATTGCTATCATCTCACGAATCTCAACCAGGTAGTCTACACATACCAGCATAGCTCAGTTCAGTTGTTAGTGACTTCATGGATTTGTGCCACGTTTTGGTCTGGCTGTCCTTAGCTTTCTATCAACCTACTCCTATACCATGAAACATTGCACGACGGGGTAGTCGGTGGTTGGGCATACGTAGCACGTGTCCCAGCCATCTCAACTGATGAAGTTTCACTACTTTACCAATCGATTTGCCATCCTTACCTAGTACCCGTTTCCTTACATCTGCATTACTTACCCGGTGGTCACAGGATATACGAGCAATGCCTCGAAGACAACTATGATCGAACATTAGTAGCCTACGAATATCCTCTACTCTTATCGGCCATGTTTCACTGCCATAAAGTAGAACGGAACGAACTGCTGCACAGTAAACCCGGCCTTTGGTTGCTAGACGAATATCTTGCCTATGCCATAAATGAGATATTTAAATATATAGGAATAGGTTTTCCACCTCTCATTACATGAACTCATTTTGTTGTTTAATTTTATCTGAAATTTTTCTATTTTTAATACGAAAAATGACAATTTTGATGGAAAGTTTAATAATAACAATAATAATAATTACTTAAGAAATATCAAAGACACGTTACAGTGATGTAAAGGAATAGAAATACGAGGGGAATATTAACATCTTAGTGTGCTGCTATTTTGATGGCTGAAGCAAGAATAATGGTTGTAAAAAGTTTTCATGAATGGAAATGTCCGAGGTCGGTAAGATGGAGTTTGTTACCTTTGACTGTATACAAAATGAAGTATGTATAAATCATACCATAATTTTGTTGGACGAATTAAAGTTCGTTTGATATTCTTTTTTAATTTGGTTAATATAGAGTTCTCAATCAATCTTAATTGTCCCTTATTTTAGTAAACTTGATGGCTTATGAAAATGCAGTAAGAGATTTACTTACTCGTGTATTTAGTGTAACTACTCCTATTGAAGCAGTCAAATTAATAGAAATGAATTCACAGAGTCTATATCTTGATTATCCCGGCTACGATGAAATAATGATTATGAAGTAGAACTGTAACTTCATTTGAATATAGATATTGTGCAATCGACCGATTTTATAGCTTGATCTTCCAATTCATTTATTTGTTTATATTGATTTGATACTTCTAAATATAATCAGCCTGTTTTTGCATCCATTTTTGTCATATACATGGCGATCTTTATTGTTGTCTTGGTGGTCTTATTTTTATTAGTTTTCGTAGATAGAGAATTGATGTGAATTTGCTTTTTCTTCCAATAACTAATATGAAAAATATTCTATAGTCAAGGGGAGGTTTTGGCCTGTTTTGTTGTTGAATATCGTTTGATAATCTCATAAGAGTAAAAAGTTATTAAGAAGCTATCACTGTAATTCTTATTCAACTTCAAAAATATTTTCCCATGATGGCATTATTTTTATTAGCTTTATTGTATTAACGTGATTTCTGAAAAATACATGATTCCTATTCTCTTTCTATGTTTTCCGTTCCATCAGATTTTCAATGACATAACGTTGCCTACCAGTATGTGTACAGAAAATGAAGCCCATCGTTACGGTCGATTTTTATGTGCAGTCTTAGAACTTGTGATGCGTTGGCATGCCAGTGAAGAAGTATTCAATCAAGAATGTGGCCAATATCCTGGTTTTGTTACTGTCTTCAGAAAGGTTAGTTTTGACCTAAAAATACTATTTTATCCACAAGAATATTTTCCTTAATTTTGTGATTGTTCCTTCTGTGAAAAAAGTAGAATATTTGTGAAACAAATTTTATGTTTTCAGTGGTACTGAAGCTTACTTTGTTTTACAAGCTTTTAAACTATTTTGCAAAACTAAGATGATTCTAGTAAATTTGTACTATGTCTGACATTGGAATTCAGAACGCGCATTTGTCCCTATTTTCGGCTCATCAGCTAGACCAACCTGCATCCCAATGGTAATATTTATACTGCGATTCGAACGAAGTATTTATCACTTCAAACCCAAACGCGTTATTCATCAAACTTTACTTAAACGTGTACCTATTTAATAAAACTGCGTGTATACCAGTGAAGTTTTATCAGTCGCTGTCCTTGTAATATCAACAACGGGAAAAATATACAAACCTATAAATAAGTTGGCTCTGTAGAGACCTTTTCGAATTTAAAAGCTATCTTCACCATGACTTTGGATTATTGATGTGACCAAAGAGCATCAGTTTTTATGAAACATTAATTCCGTTTTTTAAAATTCATTTCGATGGTTATTCAGTGGAATATTTGTTTTGTTTTTCAGTGTGATATTTTATTCGATCTTACGCTAATTTAATTGAGTGTAATGTTTGTTGAAGACACAATATTCTTGTATTCAATTAATATGAACTATACTCAGCATGTTGTTCGTCATAACTGTGGGTATTTTTCATATATGGTTTTATTCTAATGTTTAATCAAAATAGATGTACAAACCAATGTATAAATGAGTGTATTTTCGACTAGGGTCGTCATGTTTTGTGGTGAATAAATGTTCAGTTGTGTCAGTCTCCTTGTTCTTACTTCGCGTCGCGGGAATTGCAGTGGTTTTCCATTTTTGACGTATAAGTAATAAGAGATTCCGACTTAACAATTGCCGACGCAGTCATAACAATTAACGAATAGTCATAGCAGTTGCTGTGTCAGATTTCCTTGAACACCACTTCTAGACGCAATCAATTTTTTGTGTAACACAACCATTATCCATTCTTATTCACTATTAGATGATTTTAATTGGTCATGAATTTTGGTGTCATCAAAATAGGACACATGACTAATTGTTCTTCATTTGTGGGCGACTTTTATAATTTAAGGATAATTTTTTTCAGAACTATTACTTTTCGGTATTCCCCTCCCTCCGCCTTACATTTTTGTCCTTTAATTTCTTTTTTCAACTGTTTATTGTTCCTATCCTGGTATTCTATTTCTCGTGGAAAAAGAAACTTTTACACTTTATTTCGATATGTTTATTTGGAATTATATGTAATTGTTCAATAAACCAGTCACATTAGTCCACCGTTTTAGTATTTGCTTTCCTCCATCATTCTACTTGATGTGTGTATTTGTTAGTATGATCCTGTTTATGTGTTTTCAAGTGTTTTTCCATTTCTTGTTTTTTCTCCCTTACATCTAAAGACTTAGCGAATCAATTTCAACAAAAAACGATTGTGGCTCCCGGGTAGTATAAAACGCACAATCACTAGATTTGTTAATAATTGTGATTTTAATTGGTCATGAATTTCGGTCTCATCAAAATAGGACACATGACTAATTGTTTTGCATTTGTGGGCGACTTTTGTAATGCAAAGATCATTTTTATCACGAACTGTCATTCAAACAATGAATAGACGTACAAATTGACTCATCAATGATAGTCTATTGTGATCTTTCTGGTAAAAACGTTCTATGATAACAGTGAGCATCTAGAGTCGACTTACATATTTCATCTTAGTGTAATTGGGGTAACGTTCTTCGAATGTACGCCAGATATTGATATTGTATAAATCAAATGTACTATGATTCTCAAGTATTTAATTTTTGTGAAGACTTTCATCTGGATGTTTTACGGACAATTTATATCATGATCTGATATCATATGACCTTGATACCCTTAGTTCATTCTAAGACGGTGGAGATTTGTACCCCAGGTAAATGATTTATGTGGATTTTTGTTCTCTGAACTGGATGGTTTGGTCGTGGAGCTTTCGTCGTTATCCTGAACGACATTATCAACACAAGCTTTAGGTAAAAGTGAAGTGCTCGAATTTCTCCACATATAGATTACCGCTTGTCCTGTCGATGTTGATTGGTTATTGTTAACCTTTAACCTGTCATTGTCTACTTTTGGTCCTATATAGCTGTTCATGATTTTTCTGATTGGTTGATAGATTGGATCGATTTCAATGTGTTTGTTGATTGCTGGTTGATCTGAGTGCTGAGCCTCTAGAAATTCTCTGGTGTTTTTAGAATCGCTTCTGTCCGAGATCCCAACATTTTCCATTCGAATGTGTGTCCACATGCATTGATGTGTCATGGCTTTTGACCGCTGATTGATTTTCCTGCAGGCGAAAATGAAGAGGGCGTCCTTTTTGTCCCATGTAGAGTTTTTCGAAGTTGGAAAAATTTATTTTGCAGATGATGTTCAGTTTTTCTTCTTTGCCATATATTCCTTTGGTTTGCATAGGACTGATCGAATTAAGTTGGATGATTCGTGTACTACACCTATTTCAAAATACTTCAATATTCTCGTCATTTGTTATATGTCCTTCCAATCCCTTTTATTATTTTATGAAGCTGAACTCTCACTATATTTTAGTATCCCCATCGACTAATGATCGTTGTGAATATCATATTCCTCTATGAATTATTCAGCTTTTTTTTCTATATTCATTGTTTTCACATTGAATCCTTATTCATATCTATTTGAGTACGCTTGTATGGTTGAAGATCTGCCTCTCAATCCATGTTTTTATATACGCAGGTAGAGATAGAATATCTACCTTTTCCGACAGGTGCCATTCAGGAAGAAGTCGGAGATTTCAACTGTTCGAAAGAAACCTTTATACATGAAATTACAATTCAACAGGGATGTAGCTAGTGATACTCTGAAAGATAGGTTAACGAAAGTAATTAGTTGGACATTCTACCCAGCCTATCTTGCATTGACTTTCTCGATTCGACCAGTGATGTCTACTCAAACGAAGGATAAGTTACCTGAGTTGGCCTCCTCTATGTGCATTTATAAGTTCAGTCCTGTGGAGATAGCTATACCGGGCGTACTACTAGGCAACTTAACCAACGAATGAGTGAACATCTACCTGCACGTTTTGGAATGGACCAGATAAAAACAATACGCAGTTCTATCTTGGCGCATCTAATGGATAGTGGTCATAATGTAGATAAATCGAAATCATTTCGAGTGATCTGTCGTATACCTCCATCATTTCCCAACGGAGTTCGTTCCCGTCTCTTTCATATAGCAGAAGCCATAGGAATTCGTACATTCCACCTCAATTTATGTGTACAGAAGAAATTCTTAACCCCTCTATCCCTTCCATGGCCGAACATAACATATGAAATTATTAATTTTTTTAAAAATTTTATTTCTAATTTTGTTATCATTTGTTTTAATTTTCTGCCTCTTTCCGTTCGTATTATTCACTATTTACTTACACACTTCGTATTACGTAATGATTTTAATGTTTTGTGATTTCTATTCTAGTCTATTTACCCACGTTTGACCTGCTATTTCCAATGTTTAACTATTGATAAGACTTTTGTTATCGTAATTTAATATTCTTACTACTATCAGTACACCTGTCTTCCCACTATCAACTTGTACTTTTACCTATAATGCTCGGTGACGTGTTCTATTTCATTGTGATTATTGACTCAGATAACCTTGATTGGTCTAAAATTTTCGTATAAATATTCATGTATATTATAGTAAAGCCTGATGACGATGCAATTGAAAACAATTGTTCGCTTACATGTGTTGTCCTAATTTTCACAATCGGAATCTTTAACATTCAGTTATTTTTAATTCACTGTTTATCCTTCTTGTTAACACATGGTCAAATGAAGTTATTAACCATAATCGATTTCCTATTCGGTTTGTTTTATGTTAAGACATATCAAGGTTTGGATGCTAATACCAAACCAGACCAATTACAATATGAGAACTATCGTCATGTTGTACATAAATGGCATTACCGTATTACAAAAGCAATTGTTGCTTGTCTGGAATCTGGTAATTATGTTCAAATTCGCAATGCATTGATTGTATTAACACGAATTCTACCTCAATATCCGAAAATCACACAGTTCGGAAGTGCTGTTGAACGACGTGTAAATAAATTAAAAGATGAAGAGAAAGATCGACGTCCTGATTTAAAGGTTTGTTTATTAGTGTTTCTCTTTTGATTTTAACTTACGCTTCATCTAATTTTAGTTAGGATAGTTAAATGCTTTTTGATCTAGTGTAAATAAAACCATAACCATCTCATACTTCAATGCGTAATTTTACCCGAATAGCATAGGTTGGTCAAACCGAGATATGAGGGCAATCCATGGATTCACTGACTGTTGATGTAAACTGTGTTAGTCAATTTTGTTTAGCTGTTTGAAGTCCATATCATAGTTGTGATCAATGGTTGGAGATGTTAGGTAACAGTATTCACAGTCAATCCCACTAATATAAATGCATTTATTTTTTATGTCATCTCGTAGATCTTCATACATTTTTTCTCTCATGAATTGATATCAAGTTATGCATTGCGTATTATCATTTTTACCTACTTTATTATTACTACCCTTCCATCAATGAAGTAGAGACACCATTAGGCCCTTCGAGAAAAGGAAAGAGCTACTGCAAGTAGTGTGAAAATGAAACACCGGATAAAACAAGGCAAACGAACGCGTTACCAGTTTGATTTGTTTTATGCGTTACATGTATATACAGTCTACATATCGAAGACATACACTCTACATTACACACATAATGATTGATGCACGTGATCGCAAGTATATATTACGTTCACCAAAAATTAACTTCTTTCTCCATATTTTTATTATTTTTATTATCTACAAGGCAGTGGAGAAATATTAGGAGGTGTATTCCTATGGTATCCTGTGACCAACAATAGGTTGATACGCCGTTTGTTTCCTTAGGATCCTGTAGCCCAAATAGTGTGGCGCATATGTACCTGGTGCCCTTTTGTACCAATATATATGTGTTTAAATAAATAAAATAAATAAGTAGCCCATGTACACCACTGGTTTGGAATGGGGGTTTTCCAACTCCCCAGCGTGGATTTTGCATACCCACCAACTCGGTTAATGTTCTGGATATTCTCTTTTCGTCCTCTCAATTTCGCAAACAACACCACCGCCGCGAGAAGGCAGTGAGTAGGACTTCCCTGTCAGTAGCCGTGTACGCGTGGTCATGTGAGAGTGAACTCTTCGCACCCTCGGCCGTACCAGGGCATTTGGGGGCTTATTGCCTTCCGCTTATCCGTACAAAGATGGAGTCGGTGATTAGCCCTATTTTTACCTAGCCGCCTGCGTTCACTAACTCCAAGGCATCATGGAGTGGTGCGGGTCGGTTTTTGCTTTTGTGCGTTCCGTATGACTTACTATATTGATTACTTCATTTTGAAACTTGTATTCTCCATAAATAATCTTCTTCACTTGGTTAGAGTAAGGTTTTTTGACAGTGACAGCTGATTGGCGGAAGTGCATAAATTTTTATCCCAAGCATATGAGTACGTCTAGACAATCCTGCTCAAATGTTTTGCGCGCTCCATCTTAAAACTATGCAACTACCGCAGTAGATATTCATATTTGAACCATGTAGGTATACTGGTAAACGTATTCAGACACGTTTTTAAAAACCCAGAATTCATCAGTATGTTACAGTACATTCAGAGTACCATAATGGCCAATGTATTTCCTCCTTGTCCATTCTTTGAAAATATGAAATGTGGATATGTCGCGATCTTGTGTGGAAATGGTGAAAAACCTTAGCTGTTGAAGATAAATGGCATGAAAACCACTGCGGGAATTTACTTTAATATGTTTTGTTTGAATAGTCTCAAACGAGGATTCTGTTGAAGTGGGATTTCCTACTGAAATTCCTTATTTGTTGTCAAAGATTGTGGTGTTGATTAGATTTATTACTATTATTAGTCGTATATTTTTCGTATTACTGACATAAATGAAAACATCTTTATCAGATTCATCTGGTTAATTTCATCTCATTTTGCAGATCTGTTATGCCAATTTGAGCTAATACACATGTATGATATGGCCTAAACTGATAATTGCTCCAGTTAATCTTGTTCTTTGATGAGTTTTTATGCATCGTGTCATCTCTATAGCACTAACATTTTAAACTTCTTCATTACCGATAATATCGATATAGACTATTCAGTTTATTTGTAACCCTCCTGATAACTTTGATGCACAAAACAAACGCTTACTATGATGATTTTCTAACTGATTTCTAACTGATTGTTGATACTTGACCAAGAATAGAAGACAAAAATAGAAAGTCCTTTTGCTTTTAAGGTTGAATCAGATACATAAATCAAAGTATTTCTAGGATTAGAACTGATCTCGGGACACTAGAAGCTTCTAAAATAGTTGCTTAAATAAACAAATTATTAGATTCATCAGATTAGAGAAATACACAATGAGTTATTTTCTATGCTCCTAGAAACATGTTCGGAAAATTTCGTTTTCTAATATTTCCAATTACTGTACATTGATTGTAATTAAATTTCATCGTGGTTTTATTTTATGTTTGTAGGCTTTAGCATTCAGTTACGCTGGCCTAATGCGTCCACGTAAGGTTAAATGGGTTAGTGAGGAAGAATTTCATTTGAAAGAAACTAAACCAATTCGTTCAGAGACAAATACAAATTATTCGAGTAATCATCAAAGCATCAACAGTAGTGGTACCACTAATCGTACTGTATCGAATCCTGACAATAATTCGGGAACTACTGTCAACTCAACTAGTTACAGTCATAATCCACGTGGACATTCCGGTTCAAATCAATTAACTAGTTTTTCGAATCCACCTTCAAATGTAAATAGCACTGGTGGTGGTATCACCAATACTAGTACTAGTAGTAGTGGAGGTAACAATACAACTTTCGTTACTAGCATCAGTAATTCATCTAGTAGTTCTGCGACACATGAACCTCCACATACTTCAGTGTCTGTTCGACGTACTTCAATACAACAACCGCCATCGAATCAAACTGGTAAAATCTCATCCAACTCAACTGTGACGCCAAGCGGTAGTGGTAGGTCTTATACATACATGATTGTGTTATTACTCTCAACTCTGTTTATATTCTTTTTGAGCACATGTATAATAACTTAGCAATTCTATAAATGAACATGTATAATTTATTCTATAGTATCATACTATAATGTAAAATTGTCGCATATGTATTTGAATTCCACTGTAATAATAGTTTTTTTTAATGATGTTTGTATATTATCCACATTATTATTACTTTTCTTATTTACATACACCGACTAACTATAATGTAGACCTTTTCACAAAAAATCGTACTTTTTCAATGCTGAACAACTTATTCTTGAAAAGATAAGTAAGTTTTAAAAACATGAGAATCAACTATTTTGAAGAAAAATTAAAGAAGTATAATGAAAAAATAGGATATTTTGCTTGCAGGTGTGTGGGGATTTTAGTACAAATAAAATCATTTATACTTGATAAGTATCAAACAGGCGGATATCAAGAAACATTGAATAGCTGCCTAGTTTTGTCATTGTACTCTATGGCAGTGCACATTCACGGCCTTCTCAATAATCAAAGCAAACATTGGTCTTGTGCTCGTGAGTGACTGTTTTCGAAATGGATTCGCAAAGTTTTGGTATGAATTCTTCATTATTAGAGTGCCAACCATGTGAGCAGTGAAACAGTTTCTTGGCAACTTCATTCTGTTATGTCGTAGACATGGAGGAAATTGAAATATATATCACTAAGTTCCAACCTATTGGTCTACGGACAACTCACACAGCAAGAACTGAATGTACTGGGTTCGATTTCTTGCGAGTCATAGTTGTTTACTGCGGATGATCCACGCAATAACCGGAAATCGTTGACCATTGCTCCTTGTGTTTCGATAGTTATGCAGTGGTTACAAGTTCATAACAAAGCGCACTGGAATATTACTAAAATAACCGGCTCTTTTCACAAAAAGCAATACATTCGTGTGTTTTTTTTCGGTTAAACAGTCGTATCATTCATTGGAAATCAATCATTGATACGTAGTTTATGATTTTACTACCACCTTCCATTGTTTTGATGTGCGTTTTTGTATATAGTTCTGGAAACACGGTCACGGCCTCAAACAGTGAATACGTCTATTACAGCGGTAGAGTCTTCGAAATGCAATCCTTCTGGTCAACCATCCGGGTCTGTGTCACTGTCTACGGTAACAGCTGTAAGCAATTCTAGTAGTTCGAATAATTTGAGCAATAATTCACCTTCCATTCCAACAACTACCCAAAGTAAATTACGATCTAGTCAGTAAGTAAATAACTAACCACTTTTGTTTTGCATTCAGACAGAAATAACCAGTTGTTAAAATTATCATTTAGGAAAAGTCATAACTTTTTAACATTTGCATTTTGGATGCTGTTGATTAATACTAGTAAATATATAGTGGAGAGTGATCAAAGGTTTCTGTCGATTTTAATATTTTAAAGAAAAGCAGTTCTCTCTTTGTTAAGAAACTACCCCTAGTTAAATACCATAAGTTCATGGTGAATATCATTGAGATTTTGTTGGATCTTCAGAAAAATGTACAGTTAATACAGATATAGTTGCAATACATTAAGAGTTACGTTAAAATGAATCGTTTATGATGTTACTTTAACACATCAGGATCCAATCTCAATGCGATCTCAGACTTTGAGAAAGAAATCGTTGGTTTTTTTTGTATGAAATCAGACATTCACTTATCTCTTGCAATAAAATGTTTGCATCAAAATACTATTAAAATTATTTATTAACGATTGGTTTTCTGCTAATGTGGTATGGCAACTCGAATTGATGTACGTGCATACGAAGTTCTATTTTGTGACTGACTGACTGAATACTCATTAATAATCAGTGTACTTTTATTATATTGATTTTACACACTATCATTCATCAATTAAAAAAAATCTGGTTAGAATCTGACACATGTTGTACATTTCATCAGTAACCACGTACTATAAGTTTATGGAACTTTAAACTTTCAGTCACACTGTTTGTATGTATAGGTGTGTTTGTGATGTTATTTTGGTTGCTTATACCGAGAAGCTGCTGTAAAATTTAATTCTTTAATCCTTATCATTCAGAGTGAAGTGATTCAACTGATCATATAAAATGTTTTGTTTTTGTTTGTTTCATTTAAAACCTACGAAAAGGTTGATAAATATAATTTCTCTCTTCGTTGACAAACATATTGTGGAACGTGATTGATGCTTATCAGTTTATTGTAAATTCATTCATTTCTGTTGTTTTTTTATTACCGAACAAATGTTTCTTCAAACAGACGTTTTGAGTCATCTCTACCACCTCCAGACGAGGATGTTACTACTTTACCGGGACCACAATCACATTGTAAGTAATGAATAACTTTTCTTTCTACTTTAATATATAGTTTATTTTTATAAATTCTTGTCTCTCAATTGTTTAAAAAAAGTCAAAGAATTACTCAGTTGTCTCATCTTTCTACTTTCACCTTGTCAATATCATTATATCATCCATTTTTTGTCCTTCAAGTATAAGTTACTCATATCCTATTGTATGTTCACCAGCTTTAACGATAAGCCTCGAGAATGTTATTGCTTAATATATACTTATGCATCCGTTGAACAATAACCAAATGATTATATAACTCGACTTCTAGTAAATATGTCGCAGGTTTTACCCTCTATTTAATGTCACCGAGTATCTGAGTGATATCAAATACACTTAAGCATAATTGAATTGAGGCTCAGCGCAGAGCAGATAAACATCTATTTGGTAAATAAGTGGATAATAGTATTACATATTTACTGATACATTTATCTTGATTTCTTGTCTAGTTTTTATTATCTCGTTTAATTTTTACCAGCAGCATCGAAACGACGCAGAATGGAAGCAGCCAGCGCGAGTTTGACTAATCCTAATGGTTGCATTTTAAATGTGACAACATCGAAGGTGAGCAATAAAAAAAAATTCTCTCTCTCATCCTATGTGTAGATTTGTGAAATATAATGCAAACAATATGGAGTAATTTCCTCATTTTGTATTAAAAATCCAGATTGATTAATCTATCAAATATTATTCAGCAGATTAAACAAATGAATAGTACCATTTGCATGCTTTATTCGGCCTCTCGGGAGTTCTTTTTATGTGTCGATAAACATACTTGAAAATAGTGTTTTGAAGACAATATACACAACATGTACGCTTACATCACAAGTAAACCTACCAAACGAATTAATGTTCAATCTTCATATTGGGTGTTAAGCTATAGACCTCAAACTGTACGTGGACTTAAAGTACTATGGGTTGGAGATGGAGGAAGTCATATTTAATTCCGCCTATCTGACTAACGACTGGTGAACTTCACCAGATATTAAATAATCATTTTATGTATGACATCAATAAATGATTGGTTTATGATCGTTTACAAGGATGGACAGATAAAATTTTTAACAAGGAAGAACGATGACGAAAGCGAGGGCTTTTTTAATTTTCTGGCATAGGATACATTATGAACAAAATAAGATCAATCAGTTTTGCCAACCACTAACTTCACATATTTACCGCCATTAGTAAGGGAAAATGAAAATAAGTCAGAGATATTCAATGGAAATGGGTGTAAAATGATCCAAACTCAGAATAGCCTGTTATAAGATAGATTGAAATTCGGTCAATTCAGCGATAGAAAAATTAAAAAAAAAGTCAAATTTCACTAAACAGTTACTACTAGTTATACCGATAAAAAGTTTTAATGGCAAGCGAACAAAGTAGTTCACAAAATTCAAGCAACTTTTTTCTGGGACGATGATGTTATGAACTTAATGTAAAGTTCAGTTACCGACCCTCCTGTGTTTATAAAAAGCATAAGATGTGTATTTTCTTGTAACCGGTTCACTTCCATGAATGATTACCGATGATTTGTACTTGGAAGAGCTTGTCCGCAGAAGACTCGCGAATCATGTGATGACAAGGTGATTGAGGAGCATAACTTGCGAGGAAATCTAGGATTATTTCCTAACATTGGAGATAGGACAAGTGTACTTGTACGAATGCGGGAATATTTTGGAACCAGGGAAAAGATTGGTGTACCACAAAATTTGAAAGGAAAGTCTTGACTAAGTATTATGTATATATGAACATCGATCTATTTTTTTAGATGAGAGTTGAATTAACAAGGTAGGTTAGAGAATAACTTTCGGTTGCTAGTTTCTTTTGATATTTTAGTACTTCCAATTACCTTATGATATTATGTTTATTTTCTTATACTTATTGAATAGAGCTAAAAATTCTAATTTGATATTTGCTTATTTTGGTTCAAGTAACCAAATAGTATTGTTTCGCTAAAGCTTTTATTTACAGCTGAGTGTGTATCTATTTGTACCATGATCAATTTTCTATGCACCCCATGCATCATCTGCCTTTGATATATCGTTTTTTTTTCAAAACGTATCTAGTATGATGGTGTGATCGAATATCAATAACCTTTTTGTGTATATCTTTAGTTCTTTTTAGCTCGAGTCTATCTATCTATCTTATCAGTTGTATTTTTTCATCGTTGTTGATGATTGTCTTTTGTTTTATGACGGAAGTAGTGAAACGTAAAAGTACTGTCTAAACCGGATTAGGTGTTTGGCTTCAATTGCAAACGGATCGTTTTACAAATCATTACTGTTCTTGTTTAATCTACAGTATTGTTCAAATTTGTTCTTCTTGATATTTTTTAATTACTTCCAACACTGATTATTTTAAGAATTCAATCCGGTCTATGATTCGTATTCTGGTACTTTTATATGGATCATCTTGTCCAAAGATATTATCAAGGGTTTCCTCAATTTGTTTCTTTTTCATCGTTTTTTTCTCAAACATTCATTATGTAACATTATCTTGGTTTGATCTTGCAAGATTTATTGACGCTGAAGATTTCACGTTCAGGAATTTATTTACTCACTTGGTGACTGGAATATACTTGTTGCTCAAACGCAAACAGTTGAATAAATTTCCCTAATATTGTGCGTACCACACTGATGATTTGTGTTATTTCCACAGCAAATTTACTAAATATCATCATTTGAATGCGTAGATTGTGGAGATTAGCTCAATTTAAATATGAATTTCGCCTAAATAAATCGACTATGATGTTTAGTGATGTCGGGAGTGGGACATATAACGTCGATCTCAATGGATAATGACTGCTTTATGTCACGAATTGACTGGTCTTGGAAATGCAAGACTTCTGACTAGTCCGAAGACAAAGTACTTACTGTAAGGCCTGAAGGTCCTCGGTTTGATCTTCCATATATTCTTGGATATGCACTTCTGAGCAATCCTTCATTAAAATGAACCAGTTGTTCAACGGTCCTTGGTTTCCAATGTTCGTCTATCTTAAGTCAAATCGTGATTAAAAGTTCATCATCTTCGACATCAACAGCAATCTACCAACTTTACCATTATTATATTACTCAACTGTTAACACTATGCCCCAAGTTCAAGCGCTGCTGCACTTTGGTTTGGACAACCGGGAAATATCATTTACCCTCACAATTTAAGTATGGCTCCTACTGAAGTACTTGGTGAATTAATTAATTATCAATGATTTTTACTTACTGATTACATTATCTTGGTCATCCCAACTTCAAAATGTCTGAATGTAATGAGGAAGTGCTATCACCTTGTCCTTGGTTGAATAAATTGATGGCATTATGAATCTACAATAATTGTGACATATATTATGAAATATGCCGTCATCATATTTATTATCTGACTACACGTACCACCTACATCGGTTCCCAACAATTTATCTATGATATGATCAAATAGACATATAAAGTGGTCTATAAATAGTTCAACTCCCTTAGTGGAAGGGAGATTTTCAGTTTACCTACTATTTACGCCCTAACAATAACAAGGCTCTAAATCAGTGTTATTTCTGTCCAAACATTATATCCTATACCATTTTATTCTGTTCTAAGGGTAATACGACTGATGAGATAGTAGTTCAGTACTTATAGGTCCAGATTTAACATGATTATACGGATTGAATGGCTGATAAATAGTGACACCTTGTCGGTGATTCCGTCATAATCAATGAATAAAAGAGGACACTAGACATCACTGAATACGTAATATTTACATGGCCTTGAAACTAAGCAACATTAGACAGCTAATTAAGAGACAAATAAGAAGAAGGGTCAATTTCACTTTATGTTCATGGTTAGTATTGGATGCACAAAGTGAAGTTAAGGTTGCGATCACTAAGAAGTCACTCATTGTTTGAGCTGTCGTTAGATGAACGTGAGATTAGGGTTGGCTGGTTTCCTTTTGGAAAAAACATTTCAGAATACTTTACCTACATTGAAGTGGAATCTTCAACAACTGGGTAAATAATGCTAAGTTTGATCTAGTGTTCGTGATGAAGATGGCACATATAGTGATAAGACAGGCAGTTGAGACATCCGTAGCCCACGCACAACTACCGCTTACTTCATCATGTAACGATACTTGGCGTTGGATTAGTTTGGGGGAACACTAAGAGTACTAAAGACACGCGACAACGGTCTGTAAAGTCATTAGTTATTTAACTAAGCTGTTTTAGTGGGTGTAGAGTATATGGTTAGTGTCCGCACAATAAATGAGATCAGTGGTTAAAGACGTTGAGTAACCATCGTTCAATGTTCGTCAAGAATGTGTTCGTCTCATTTCTTCCTGTAGATTGTAAGTTTCATCACTATTTTATACTGTATATTTCACGAGTTCATTCCTTTTCATATCATATTCTCTATGTTTCGTCTTTCTTTCTATCTATGAAATTATTCATTTTTACTTTTTTGTTATGCATCTAGTAAATCTCATCATTCTGTGTTGATATGTAAGAACTTTAATCGATGGGTGTTTGTCTCAGGTTCCACTTTTTTATGACAAAATAATTGTGTTCACAATCGTCACCTTGTTGTTTAACTATGTCTTCAATGTCTTTTTAAGTACTTGTACTGAAAGGCTGATAGTCAAACATGTATAGTCTTTCTTTGATATTTTCCAGCCTTAAGTTCTATTGTAGTGTACGTATTTATTTTCCTTGAAATATAATTTGAAACAGGCATCAGTGAACACAGTTGACGAACCACGTGAGTCACATAAATCTTCCACACGAAAACGTTCAACTCCTACAACTATACCAGGAAGTGCACCGATCACTCCAGAAAGTGCTATACAAAATTTACGCTACACAAATGCTGGTATAATTTCCAACACCGTTCCTAGTTTGAATAGTGTTAATTCTTCCAGCGGCGGTAATAGTGGTACTGGTAGTCGTTCAACAGCAAGTCCTGGTGAAAATATTTATCCTGTTAATTCTTCGCTACGTCATCATCATCACCAATCTAGACAGTCAAGTCATCAAAGAGCATCATCGGGTAATTCCACTGAAAGTCGAGAACCAAGCTTAGAAAATGAACGAAATTTAATTGCTTCCAGTTCAGCAGGTCTCGTAAAGAAAGCAAAGAAAGGTAAGCGAAAATAAAGGTAGGTCGTAGTCCACATCCCGAATTTATTGTTTTGTGTATTTTATGGAATATTATGATGTTGCTTGTTTAGCAGGTTAACTACTCAAATCTCTATTGCTAATTCCAAACTGCGTTATTCCGATACAGCATTTTGTTCATCAAATATATTTTCAGCTATTTGACTTAGAGCCACACTGTTTGTGTATATACATCTGTATATATCTGGTGATATTCTTTAGCTACTCGAATCAAAGTAGATCAAGCAAGGTTCAAGCCTGGAGCTCGTGGTCTGCATTTCATGTACTTTAACCAACGAGACACTGCTTCACCTATATACAGTAGACAAATTTATATTTTTAAGGACTGTACTACTGTAGCAAGCCAAACTTTGAAGTGGGTTAGCATGTTTATTTATGATATTGATGACAATTGTACCACATAACAAAATCAAATATGGAATCGATGGTTTATAACGCAACTTGAAAGTTCTAAATTTGATCTCCAGTTGACAAGTTGACCCCGCCACCAGTTGTTACATCGATATCTTAAATTCTTGATATACCACGTACAACTTGAGCACTCGAACGCTAGAACCCTCCAAGTTGCTAATGAGTAAGCAGAAGACAGGTGAAGGGAGTGCTATTCCATGCAGTGTCGAATATGGTACAAAATTCTCAGGTATTTATAGTTTTTAGTAAAAACGAAATCATCATTATAGTCATCTAATCTTCATACAGAAGTTTTTAGCATTTGTCCAATAGAGAAGCTACACGTAGAGGTCCTGGATTGTTCTTGCAAAAGATGATTGGGTGGAATATCTTCGGCTCTCTCTGAGCTTATTAGAGATTCCTCAAGTTCATCATCAATGTGTATGCACATTGGCAAGTGTTTTCGATGGGAACAAAGCTGCATGAAAACGATATTTTCAGTTCTCCTTGGTTTACAATATTTGTTAACAAGTTGATTTCTGTTCTTGGTGAGAATTATTATTATTGCTTAAATGCAATAATATTCTAACAATTAGCGTAGGAAATCCTCGTAAAAGAAGTAAAACCGTCAATATAAATACCTTCATTTCTGATTTGTTGTTTCCCCTCCTAAATTTACTGATCATTCGTGAGTATTTTTACATTACGGGTCATAGTTGCACAATTCACTTTATAATTAATCATCAACCATTAAAAATATATTACAAATTATACTATTTAATATTTATTTACTATTAATCAGTTCACTAATGTATTAGTTATGTGGTATCAGTATTGTAGCCTATTAACGATACGTAAACTACTGTGCATTTTATTAAATTCGTATTGTTTCGTTTTTGTCCCTCAGCTCATCATCACCATCATCATCAACGTTCGTCATTAGATTCATTGAATATGGAGTCCAATGTTAACAATAATAATAATAGTCCGGGTTCTGTTACCATATATTCAATTTCAGATTCCCAAGGCTCATCTCGACATTCACGTAGATAAATCTTAAGCACCGATGAAAATGACATTAGTTTTATTCTATAATCTTATTTTTTCTCTCTTATTTTTCTTTAACTTCGCTTCTTCTCTCTGTCTCTCTCATATACACAAACTCTTATTACTAATGATCACATAATCATCATGTTCGATCGCATTTAGTTCATATTTTCCTACGAATTGCACAGTTATCGTGAAAATATCTATTGATTTGTATCATATTCTTTCTTATCCTTTCTGTCCATAGTTGAAGTACTTTCTATTATGTAGTCTTTTATAAGCTAAACATTTAATCCTTGTACGCACGTTTGTATGTGTATAGGTACACGCGCATAAGAATAATCAAGTTTTATTCCTTATCCAGTGTATCTTTCTATGATAGACAGTATTGGCAGCAATTTGACATATAAAATGAACTGCTTTGTTTGTATAAATTAATTTTCTTTTTCGTCCTATAACTTATTGGAAGGAAAGGATGTAGGATTTAATTTTTCCAACGGATATACTACTAGGACTGTAAACCCAATACTAGCGATGCCAGAGTCTATGTGAAAGCTATAGTCAGAACAAGGACAACATGGCTTTAAACTTTATCTGTTTCTAAACATAAAAACAATTAGATTTCTACAATAATTAAAGAATTACAGTCATTAAGTAAAACGCACAAACATACCGACCGGTATTACGTGTCTTATCGAAATGAGTAGAATTTTTGAGTCACATTAATATAATAGGAAAATAATGTCCTTCAATTTGCGGGTCACATGCAGCAGGGATATAGTACAGATATATCAGACCAGATTGACGTCGTGGGTGATTAATCAACGATTTGCTTGGTTAGTTATTGTCAATTTAACAGGGGGTCACCAGCATTTCTACAAAATCATAGAGGTGGAATAGCGTTTCGGTGAAATACAGATTCCTATACGATCCTATTTGATTCTTTCCATCTAAGTCACTCAGTGGCAGTTTGTTGTGCTCAATCAACAATGTCCTCATGGTTAACCAGCTATACAAAATAAGACTACTAAGAGTTTTGTACTACTGATGTCTTAATGCACAGGTCACGAATATGTACACATGTATACTATTTGAGTAATCAATACAGGATTATCCAGATGATGGCATCGGTTATGTAAATGATCCACTTGCAATAGCCTGCCTACAGTCGCATCTATCGCCTACCATATGACAATGGAAAAGCATGTTGTCGTTCCTTATATACTTGTTACCCTGTTTGACTCTCTTAATTCGCTTCTTCGGTTAGACGGCCATTACTAGTCAGTTATAAATGATGAAGAGACTTGCACAAATTACATCTTCGCTTCTGATGAGTACACTACAGGATAATAGTCTAAGTCACTGAATTACGAATAAGAATTATGGTGAGAAATAACTCGAGCGTAAGCGCGTTCGTGCAAGGTAACAGACAATGGAAGGAAAAGTGTCTTTGGTACAGTTAAACAAACAAATAAAGTAAAACAAACACTGATACAATTGTTTATGATAATAAATGTTCCCATTATACCAATCGCGTTCTCGTCATAAAGGTGAGTTACCACATGCTCACTATTGACCAACTTGACAATAGATTTGTTGCAGTTGTAGTGAGGAGCCTTGACCAATGGAGTTGAACCGTGTATGTTGTGAAGCAGTTACCGACCGAAGACAATGGTAGACGGTGCCGCAATATGGTGGATTGGTTGAAGTTATAAATTAGCACGGTTGGGTGTGGGCTCAGTGGTGTACAGGTTGTGTTATCACGTGAGACCCAACGTCATGGGTTCGAGTCCCACGTGAGATATCGCGATCTAAAATTCATCCATTCTTGGTATCAATTAATAGGATGTTTGTTGAAATTGGTTATAGTTGTAGTATAACAGTAGATCACAATATTTATGTCAGGACTGTCAAAAATAAAAAAAGATATATTGATTCATTCAAATGAAATCTGGTAGTGATTCGTAATTCCACCTCATAATAAGAAGCATTAAGAGTTTCAATAAGTGGTCTTCACTTTAATGAAATAGATCTGTTTGACTGACAAAAACAGTCTTCAATTTTACTTCAAAACTATGCTGATTTGTTCTATGAGTTAGAAATATTTATTGCCCATTTTATTATTATGTTGAAGGGATACTAAAAATTACATGTGTTTGTAGGTTCAGTAGGTGGTTCAAAATAACTAATGGAATCACAAAATTTAGTTAAAAGCAACTAATGAGATCGAAGAATGAAACACGGAAAATGACACTGAACGAAATGTATAGCAAATGATAAGGAATTATTTGAGCATATTGGTTTTTAGTTATGTGAACTTACACTCTCCAACCATAGATTATGATTTTTGTGCGGTGCACAACTTCCTATATACACACTATTAATAGTCAGTGATTATATGGGGTATATCGCCTTGAGTCATAGATATATTTCTCATCTTCCAAAACGTCAATAGGATTCAAATCGTTATTTATTTTACACATTCTACGAGTATGTTAAGTTAGCACTACATGTGTTTATCGGTTCAGTGGCTGTTTCTCATGCGTTTATATTTCTCGGGATACCACTATGTTCTAATGAAGAAAGAATCTACGTAGACTGCTTCCTGTTTGAAAGGCGTCTGTACTTATGAAAGGGTGGTCCTAAGCGTTTATCTAATTTGAACGTCAATGGCAAAATATATCTAAAGCATTATAATCAAAGATGGATAGTGGCTAGTAGTGCAATGCAGGACGCGTGTTCCTTTCTATTTGGGACTCGTCAGCTGAATGTACCTACATCTCAGAGTTGATGTTCACTCTGGGACTCGAACCCAGTACCGTTCTCTTCAAACGCCATCGCGTTATTCACTTATCTACTGAGTCCTGATAGCTACTTGCTTGTGCAATGGGGCGAAGCGTAGATTCAGTTGATGTTGTTTGCTTGTATCTTCCCATTGATGTTTAGGACTGCAATTGATCAGTCTCTTGTTGGCATATGTGTATACTGTGAACATCAACTCTGAGACGCAGGTACATCCAGCTGATGAGTCCCAAATAGGACGAAACGCGCGTCCTGCATTCCACTGTTGGCCCCTATCAATCTTTGCTTGTGAATTTAGGCTACATCGAGGCAATACGCACAGGATGTTCATATGCCAGTAAGAGACTGACCAATTGCAGTCCTAACCATCAATGGTGAGATTCAAACAAACTATACCAAGTGATTTTATATATCTAAAGCTCCTAGACTGGCTCTAGAATTCTAATGGCTGGAAATTATTCATATTCGTAGGTATGGGCAGAAGAGTAAATGTCACAGCTGATTTAGGCGGACGGATATCTTCCAGTTTCTTTGTTTACGAAATAATAGTAGTGATCATTCTCTGAGAGTCAGTCGTTTTTTGTCATCACTAGCCTTAATTACGAAGACAGGGATTTTCGGATTTAACTACCAATGACATAACCTATGTTAAGCTCTCTCATGATCTCAATATGCGGAAATAGCTAAGAAAACTAATAATGTCCATTAACAGTCTTGTTAATAATAAAAAGAAGCCAAAAACTTCCATTAATATATAAGGCAGGAACGAAATGAACCACAATATGCGTCACATAGGAATGAAAGCAAAACGATAAGCGTAACATAAAAAAGCTGGGAAGCAGCAGATCATTTGTAAAGGAATACAGTTTACTGATGTTATGTTGTTCAAGGCCAGAATGATCACATGCTGTTGCAATATCATATTATTACGAGAGACATGCAATCATTCAATACTCGGTTGGACTAGAGTATTGTTTACTGAAATGGATCTAATAACATATGCATGAACTATTCGCTTAATGTCAACTCTATAATTGAGAAAGAAACGAAGAAAATAATAAAGTATACATTGTGAAAAACACTGTGATTACAAGACTGGACAATAAATCAGTATTATCAGGGTAGGTTAAGGATAAGAACAAATTGTTTTCTAACAAATAGAAGGGGTTCCAGTTTTCTTATAGGCACGGCTTCAATAAAACTTGGGATGAGACCTTCAAAACTTCTGTATAACACTACAAAGACTGACTTTTCATCAACCATATGACAAGTCTCAACCAAATGTTTATCAATGTATGGAGATACTTGTCTATCCTGTGATCTTATTTGACCACTGGAATACATTTGTTTCTGTAGCTATTCAAGTATGTGTCCAACCACCTTTCTCAGAGATCGCGATTACTCCTCTCTATGTATGTGTTTCCGCATATGCATGTAAATAGATAGACTCAATAGAATGTGGCAATCGTCTACGTGATATTCACGTTTCTAGTGAAACAGATCTTGACTTTTCGATAGTGATGAGTTGGGCTACGTAAAATGTTTTGCTGATAGCCATTTGAGGCCTTCTTCAAGATAAGTCTATTTGTGTCACCTCAGAATCGTAGGGTTAGCTAGAATCAATTTTCGGGTGACGAAAATACAATAGGTCTCACCATCTTGCTACCATTCCGATAGTTTATAAACCGTTATTCGTCAATGTTTCAGTTGAAAGCTGTACATCTCCTTCAATGGTCTTGCTAGTGCAAATATGATTGATCTTATTGTATAATCCCCTTATAATTCCACGTGTGTACCGGGTTGGAAATTGACCATGAAAACTAACATACTGCCCTGTCCATATCGGCTTTTTATATACAGAACGTTTGACAGAATCACCTTGTCCTGCTATTCAGTATGTTTATAAAACGGACCCGGTTATTCCACCTATACCATGAACACATCGGCCACCGATGATCCTAAACAGCTACCAATAGCTGTGCCATCATTCTGTCCAAAATGCTCTTCCTCAAAAGTGAATTTCACATTGTCATTACATAGTAGTAATAATACATCTCTAAGAGCTTTGACAGACAATCTCAATTGAATAATATTTAATGGGACATAGTCATCAAAGCACAAATGGCTTTTCTAAGAGATACATTTGTACACAAAATGTTTGAATCAAAGGAGGACATTGTCTTATTTTCTATATTAGCATCCAATAAGTAAATAATTCAAAGAATACTTACAAAATTGGTATCGAATAGGGTTTTATACTTTTTTTAGCTATTTTCCAAGGCTGTATGTAGGTGACAGACACATGGATAGAATTAAACGTAAGGGGGTGTTGCACTTATGAATCTTTGCTAGTGCATATGAATGAGCATACACCGAGCCCATGAGTTTCAATAAATTATTTTTTTTATTTTGCTCATAGCATTCACGTTAAGTAGGTTCATCAAATTACTTTCTAATCTGAGTAACCCATCACAGTCAACATTAGCCATAAACTTACTTTCATGACTGACAATGGATGCTATCTTATCAGTATTAGTTCGCAATTTTTTTAATGCTTTGAAATGCTGATAAGTTAATATTTTTCTCTACTTTAGTTTAGGAACATCAAACTGATGCTCTATACTCACTAGTTCAG